TATATATGTTTAATTATGAGACTAAAATTTCCTCTCACCTCCCCATTTTGTTTTTAGGTTTCGATTTTTCAATTTAATGAACCAATATCTTCTCAATGTAAATTTATGCAGATTTATTGTGTTATTAGTTAAACTCATTAATCATTAATTTCTTATGATTTCTGAATTTTTCCTGAGAGTTATTAAAATTTCATTTAGTTATTAAATTCGTTGAACTCATTCGCAATTTAACCTTTTCTAACGAGTTTTAACTAGTAGAGATGGAACATTATTTTCTACTTATCTGTAGCATGTTAGGCTAATACAATGCAACGTATATATGAGTGTATCAGAACGTAGATATGAGTGTATCGATATGTGTGTAATTCATTCTTAACTTCTTGATTGTCCACCCTTTTAACATAGATATAGATTCAGAAACGTAACGTATCTCGTCTGATACCTAGAAGAAGAAAAAAATTTCTGTCAGTATATATTAGAGATGGTGGACCTTTTCCGATTGGTGTGGCAGTAAATCTACAGTTTAATGCATTCAGTAGCCAAGAGTTCTCAAATTTTTCTTTTTAGGAAATAATGCGTCAGCTACTGCTTCCGTATTGAACCACAGAATTACCTGCAACCAAATATATAGCATAGAATTAAACCATAGAATTGTGTAACTATATTTTTCTGTTTAATTATTAGCGTGCGTTGAATCTGAAACAACGTCGGTTTCTTACATTTGATTATGAAGAATTCATTGATGAAAACACCTGTTTACAGCATTGTGTAAATTTACTTTACAGTAATTTAGTTTGGGTTTTCTTTTTACAACTGATCGCACTTCCATAGTTCCCAAAAAAAAAAACAATCTCCCTTTCTTCTTTGCTTCTTCTACTTCAATAGAAGAGAGTGACGTTATTTCCTGACACTAAATAATGACACTAAAAGCACGTTTTTTTTTCTAAATCCGCGTTTGATAGCCGTTACTAATAGTTCTTCTATTTATTTTACTACTACTTCCTTTACTACTACGCTACTACTTCTTTTACTACTACTTCGTCTACTATTTCTTTTTCAACTATTTCTTCTTCTACTATTTCTTCTTCTACTATTTCTACCTCTACTACTTCTTCTACTACTTATTCTTCTACTACTTCATCTACTACTTCTTCTTCTACTACTTCTTCTTCTACTACTTCTTCTTCTACTACTTCTTCTTCTACTACTCCTTCTTATGCTACTTCTTCTTCTACTACTTCTTCTTCTACTACTTCTTCTTCTACTACTACTTCTTCTACTACTACTTCTTCTACTACTCCTTCTTATGCTACTTCTTCTACGTACTAAGTACTTCGTCTCCTTCATGTTCAATTTAATAAAAGTAATTCAATATGCACTTTTTCAAAACTACTGTCACGTGTCACCTAGAGGCACGCTTGCCATAGCTTCGCAATCTCTGGTATATACCATAAAAAACCGTCTTGAAAATATGTTAAAAGTATTATTGTACGCATTATATTATTATAATGCATATCATAATACTTTTTGATGTATTATTGTATCCTACTACCTTATCTAGAGGAATGTCTTGGAAACTTCTGGACCCTATGATCCATCTCCGTATTTTGAATATTTACTACAACAGCATTAAAACTCTTGGCACTGACTTCAGCGAACATCTAACTAAGAGACTGAAACAATTTACACTTTACGAAACGGGTACTAAATCTGTCAAACCTGGTAAGAAGCTTTAATTATATTTTGATTTCTTAGACTTCATTATGTTCTAACTGTTTCTTCTTTGTGACGTTTAATTATTTGTCAATACAAGAGGTGTTCAAAAAGTATAGAAATGGCCAAATATCTAAAATAGACATTATAAATTGGCCTTTAGACTGAATTTGGGCGGCCAAAAGACGCGAGCTCCAAGATATTGCTTGCGAGATTGGGAGAAAAGTGTTTCTACTTAGTTTGTCAGAGTTAAAATAACAATTTTCTAAAGTAACTGTTTGAGCAAGCAAAATAGGAAACTCCATTTTTCATTGCAGATTTGGATTCTCTCTAAATCCCCTAATTTGAAATGCAGGGCCTTGCATTTTAGATCAGCGATGAAATCCCCATTTAAATTGTTTTGCAATTCAAACTCCCCAAACTCGCAAAATTTAATGATACCGAACTCCAACGCCACCGATGGAGAAAAAAAAATTGAAATTTTTTATGTTATTAAAAATATTTTTTTTTCTCGATCCGATATATAGATTTTTTGCCTCATTTTTTAATTCACGATTACAGCGCCATCTGTAAACTAAAATTCAATGGTCTGCAAGTCAGTTTGGAGTATTTTTCTTAGAAAATCCCCTTCTGCTGCAATAAATGGGGTAAACAAATAAGATTTTAATGTATCCTTCCCCACTAGACTCAGAATTTGAGAAATCAAATCCGGTATTATTGAACGAATCTTTTAAAACATTTCCCTTGCTCAGTTTTCAGTTTCTATGCGTTACGTTTATTTCTGAAGGTATTTGTCCGTTTTCATACTTTTTGAATACCCTGTATATGATCTCTCTCTCTCTTTTTAGTTATTTCTGATATACGTCAAGAAGTTTTTTGTACTGGACATTGCTTAAACTGCGTATTTTAAAAAATAGACATAGCAAATCAAAATGTGTGTTTTTGAAAATGGACATCACTTAAAATACACGTTTAAGAATTAATATCTAAGAATGCGTATTTAATAAAATGGACTCAACTATTCAAAAAAAATAGACTTAGCATTTTATTACGTGTTTCAAACTTCGTTAACGAAAGTTTTTTTTATTTTTTTTTAAGATTAATCTAAGGAATTAAAATAAATTCGTAATAATAGGTCGCTTTTTTGCCTAAACCATAGCAATTTTTTTTAAATTAGTCTTCTTTGAAAATACCTAGAAATGTCACCAGTTTTTTTATAAGGTTGCTACGAAGTCTGAAAATTTATAATAGAGGCATTAAATACACGATGTACGAATTTAGAATTTTAAAAAACACTTCATTGTCTAGTGTTCTCAAGAGATCACCCAAAAAGTTACAGCTGTAATATACCAAGCAACCAGCCATCCCAACCGCGACATCTGGGACATTACTCCTAACGTGCTTTTCGTGTTTTAAAAAGTGATGAAAGGTAAGCACGAAATTTCTGATTTAGTTGTTAAATTTGGATCGAACATTCAAAAGACGAATTTCATTTCTTTAAACACGCATTTCAAACTCTGTCCATTTTCTTAAACAAGCATTGCGAGCTATGTTCATTTTCTCTTACACACTCATTTTGAACTAATTTTCTTAAGTACTTATTTCGAGCCATGTTCATTTTCTTAAACACACATTTCGAGCTATGATCATTTTCTTAAACACGCATTACCATCTGCATCCATTTTCTTAAACGCGCATTTTAAGCTAGGTCCATTTTCTTAAACACGCATTTCGGGCTATTTCCATTTTCTTAAGCACTCATTTTAAATATGTCCATTTTCCTAAGCACTAATTTTGAGCTGTGTCTATTTTCTAGAACATTCATTTCAAACTGCGTCTATTTCCTTAAACACGCAGTTCGGGCTATTTCCATTTTCTTAAACACTCATTTTGAACTGTGTCCATTTTCCTAAACACTAATTTTGAGCTGTGTCTATTTCTAGAACATTCATTTCAAACTGCATCTATTTTCTTAAATACACATTTCATCACACTCATTCCAGAATAAAAAGCTCATCAATGATTAGTTACGAAAATAAAATACACTAAATATAATTACCACTAAAACTTTATTACGGGAATCTAACAGTTTAAGGAAATCCTAGTACAGATATAATTTATAAAAATAATAATGATACATAATTTTTTTTTCATTTGTTCTCTAGCACATTTCAGCTTTAATTATCTTTCACTATTGAAACATTTAAAAGTTGGCTTTAGAGGTAGTTATCAATGAAAAAAATAATAATAAATAAATAAAACATCTAGTGGACAAAGTTATCCCGGTTGGGGGGGGGGTATAACATTGTCAATGATGCTTATGAACTTTTATTGAAATAGATAGCAATTGATAGCTATGATAATATGACCACCCTCCATCTATAACAATGGGCTCGCCCAGGTTTTCACGGTTTCTCGCCCAGGAACAATGTTTTCATGGGGCACATTAGGACCCATAATCCTCATCGAACAATCCCTGACGTCTGTAAGCTACTTGAACATAGTTAAAGACCAGGTACACCCATTCATGGCAACAGTTTTTCCTGCGGGGGATGGTATTTACCAACAGGATAATGCACCATGTAATATGGGTCGAATCGTCATGGATTGGTTCGAGGAACATTCCAGTGACTTTCAAGTCACGTCTTGGCCCCCAAATTCACCTGACCTTAATTCAATAGAGCATTTGTGGTTCTACTTGAAAAACCAAATTCATGCTGCCACGCTACCCCCTCACAATGTGAGGGAATTGCAGAACCAGTTGCTGAGCGCGTGGTACCAGATACCTCAGACTACCTATCAGCACTTAGTGGAAACAATGCCACGGCGGGTGCTAGCAGTTTTGAGGGCTAAAGGTGGTCCTACATGTTATTAGCAGGGTGGTCATGATGTAATGGCTCTTCGGTGTATAAGCACCTTATATCAATTCTTCTATCTTAGAACCAAGTTTAAAAATAATTTACACTAAGTGATTGAGAAATCGACAAAATTTTCAATGAATTTTAAAACTAGCTTGCTGACGGTACTCGTATGAGTTGATCTTACATTATTATTATTATTGTTATTATTATTATTATTATTATTACACTTCATTTAATGTATATTTTCTGCTGAAATCTTTTAGGTGTCTTTAAAGAATTTGTTGATTTAGAAAAAGTAGCTGTTATATCTTGCAAGCTGACAGAATTAAGTCGTGATATATTTCCAACACCTTCTAATATTCAAGTATTATATTTCAAGTAAGTAATACAGTCTATACAATTTTTGCGACATTGTTTAACAAAGACAAAATTAATTTAAGGACACATTTGTTTCATTTGTTTATTGAAATAAAAACTAAAACTAACATGCGGTACAGAGGTCGGAACTCATGAAAAGAACCCAAAGAAACAACTCGCAGATCATTAATGCTTCTGGTCAGTAAAAGTATGTATAATAATATAAAATTATCCATTAAAAAAATATTATAATTATTGTATTATAATTATTATAATTATTGTATTTCCGCATTTGAGATGTGACTTCTTGTTATGCATTTCGTGCAAGTGTTACTTCTTAAGAATTATACTTTCTTTATTGTTATTGGTGGTTTAATTTACTTATTATTTTGTTTTATGCACTTATAAGTATAATATAAGTTAATATATGAAAATATCTTGCTTATTATATCAGTAGTTGAAGATCAATTCAAATTTGAAAGCGCTCTAGAAAATATTTTGGATTGCAGAATATTGGAAATTGTTCAAGCAATTATTGCTCGGCAATGAACCGATTGTTTCACAATAGAGGAAAAAAGCGATGAAAATATTTCGTTCCTATGGAATAAGATCCCTTAGTTGTAGAAATAATTTGAATCATTGGAATATGGGAATTATATTTTGTGTAAAAGAATCTAATAATCAATTCCGGTATAAGTTTCTCAAAAAAGGAAAAAAGCGAGGAAAAGATTTCGTTCCTATGGAATAAGATCCCTTAGTTGTAGAAATAATTTGAATCATTGGAATATGGGAATTATATTTTGTGTAAAAGAATCTAATAAACAATTCCGGTATAAATTTCTCAAAAGAGGAAAAAAGCGTTAAAAAGATTTCGTTCCTATGGAATAAGATCCCTTAGTTGCAGAAATAATTTGAATCATTGGAATATGGGAATTATATTTTGTGTAAAAGAATCTAATAAACAATTCCGGTATAAGTTTCTCAAAAGAGGAAAAAAGCGTTAAAAAAATTTCGTTCCTATGGAATAAAATAATTAGAATCATTGGAATATATGTGTAAAAGAATCTAATAATCATATTCCTGTCTAAATATGATAATTTATTATAACAATGATTTTTTGAACTAAGATTCAGATTTTATTATTTATTCTTGTACTCGTTATTCGCGTTAGTGTTATAATAAATTTTGGATAATATTCGCAGTTAGAAAAAAAACCTTAAATGTACTTACTAGCAATAAAATATTTTGAAGTAATTGATTAATTAAACATATTAAATTTTTGGCTCTTAAACGTCACTATACAGGATCCACCATTTTGAATATTAAAATTCAAAATTAAGAATTTTTACTACAATTAGCGATCTCGAAAACCCTTATTTTGATAACTCTTAGAAAATACAATTGAATTGTCAGTTTTGTCCAGTTTTTCTCAGTTTCGACTACTTCAAGTTTTTACTCAGTTAGGACGACATACAGTAGCATGTCGTCATCTTATGAAGCACAAAACATAACAATGACTGCGTCTTTGAACTATACGTCGTTGTCTGTATTTTAATCATAATTTTAGGTGGTAAATATTGATTAAGATTGCACAAAATTGAAAAGCCGTTTGTAAATCACTTAGGGCTGGTTGAAGAGCAACTTTGGCACTTAGTTTTTTTTTCTTCTTATTTATGTATGTGCATTTAATCTCTTTATTTGGTTATTAATTACACTGGAGAACAAAATTTTTGTTCCATTTATAAAAATACTTGACCTTGCCTAATTCGGGTGTGGATAAGTTTTGCTCATAAAACTAGAGTTTTTTTAAATGACAAGTTTAGTTTTTTTTTTCTTTTTTCAAAATGTACAAAGTTACAAATATAAATGTTGCGACAAACTTCTTGGGGAATTCACACCATCAGGTTTAAAATTGCATATGAACTCATTCTCCGAAATGTTATCGTACGCGGCTAGGGACGCTTACCTATTAAGACCTTTTCAGAAATAAACGAAGAAACAGTTTATGATAGGGAATTTCCGGGCTTGAGTGTCAATACAATTTCAATCCTGAATAATTCCCCTAAAAATTGGGTGCAACATTTATGTTACCCCATGCTATATATAACCATGTTATATATATTTCGAGAAAATTAGACTAAACGCATCATTTAGAAAAACAATTTTAGCTTGAAGAAAGAAAACGATTTGAAATCAGCAATGCAAAAGTATCTAAAGTCTGTTAAAAAATTGCACATAACAGAAAATTGCACATAACAGAATATAAATAATTAAAATTGTTCCCTAGAGTTATGAGAACTATTCTATAACCGAGCGATAAAAAGTTCCAGTAATCAGTTGCTTCAAAATGGCGTCGAAAGTCTCTTAAAAATTTTAGGTGTGGGGTACATCTCATAACGGAAACTTGATTTTCGTTCTTATCTTAAGCGACGGAAGGGTTGAATATGCTTTAGGCTGCTAACCAGCTTAACCCGAATTTTATTAATTTGAATAACATTGTGCAGAACGTAGAGCTTAATGTTTCTAGAGCCTGAATTAGCTATGCTGTGATAAACGATATCACTCATGTCTGACTTCATAAAAAAGGAGGATCGATCACAAAGATCGCCTCCAAGTCTTTGCCTGGAGAAAGCAATGCTTTTGATGAATTTAATATCTTCCTGAAATGGTTGAACTGTTAATCTAATGTATATTTAACTCTTATTAACACTTCTTGTATAGTTTTTGTATCATTTTATTGACAGCAATAACAACATAAAAAGTCTACCAGATGACATGTTTGCTGATATGCCACGCTTACAGACTCTTGGTCTTAGACATAACCAGCTAACTGTTTTACCTGCAACAGCATTCATTGGAAGTACAGACAGACTTGTATACTTTCAACTGGAAGGTACAGTATATCTTAAAAGTATCCTAAAAGCTGTATAATACAGCATAACCTAAAAGTCCAAGAATAATCAAACCTCTTGAAAAATAAACACTGGGTAGGAGAGTTAAATAAACATTGGGTGTGTTAAATAATTTACACAAACTATCCAATGATACAAAACTCTATACCCAATCTCCATACAGAAAGTAAACAGGGAACAAACTTTTTACTACGAGCCTTTCACGACTATTTTATTGCAGGTTAATAACGCTAAAATAAATTCATTTTTTTATTTAATATTTTTATTGCCCTTCCCGGTAGCTTTATATTATCATATTAAGCAAAAAACATATCTTATAGTTCATCCCATCTGAATAGAGATCAAGTGCTTAGATTCCACTTGGCGTGATGCTATTGCTTGTGGCCATCTCATGATAGCCAAAATTTACCACTATCAAATAATTTTCTCCGTTGCTTATTCCTTCCCAAGAAGCCAAAGTATAGGTGTATACTGCTTAGTATTGGTGCAGTTTTAATAATCACCAAATATATTAATATAATACTTTACACCTAGATTGATATATTTGTATAACCGTTTATATTAACCGAAGCACATTCATTTGTCAGTGGCAGCAAACTAAATCCGCAATTTTAAAAACAAATAGAATTTTTATAAGACCTTGATAAGGACATTGGAGCATGACCTCTTCTATATCTGATTCTTAAGTTACTGTTTAAAATATTTATAAGTATAGTGGCTGAAAGAATTTTCTTTTAATTCAAATTCATAAAATATTGATATACTATCTTTGCCACCACTGAAAAAATATTTTCTGAAACTACGGAAATCCTGTTGAAATATTTTCTGAAACTACGGAAAACCTGTTGAAATATTTTCTGAAACTACAGAAACTCTTATTGAAATGAATTCCCCACTAACTATTTCTCCATTAAAAGCTTATTTTCTAATTTCAATAATTACATATTACCAATATTGATCAGAATCGGTGTTAACAATAATATGGCGATTTTTTACGATTATCCAAAACGAAAAAGTATCTTTTAGTCATTAACTTTGCCTTTTAGTAGATAGGTTATTTTATATTTCCATTAATGCAAAATTATCAACAATAATTAAGCATCATTGTCGTCAATAATAGTAGTGCAACTATTTTACGGTTCCTCTAAGCGAATAAGCACCTTTATTCCAGTAATTTTGGCTTTTAGTACATAGCATATTTTACCTAATATTTCGCATAATATTTTTGCATATATTACTTAAATTAATTACGAATCATTGGCTCCAATAAAAGATGACTGTTTATTTACATTTCTTCTCAGAGAATTAGTGCCACGTTTCCATTAAGTTTGCCTTTAAATACATAACTATTTTTTTTTTTCATTTCTATTACAGTTTCTATTACAGTTAGTTTTAAATTATTTACTTTCATGAAAACACACTTTAAAAGAATTACTAAAAATAAAATAAACACTTGGTATTGGACAACTTTAAAAATATAAAATGTGTGACGTCGTTCACAGAAGATACCACGTTAATGCTTATTGAATTTATCTTTCACAGCGAATTAAAAATATTTAAATATTAAAGAGCGTGCAAGAAACTTTTTTTTTATCAATTAGAACTATAAGCTAGAAAACATCTCTGACGTTATCTTCAAAATATTCGACAAATTGATTCTTCTGTATTAAAATTTAAAACAGTGGCTAACTCTAAACCAATCAGAAAATTCCTTTTCGTTTTTTCCCTCATCCCACTCGAACGGTTCGTCGAAGAATGTCGACAGTGACCTTCCTCGTACTTCGATCTATCTGTATGCCAAATTTCATATCTTTCGGTCGGATAGATAAGGAGTCGGATAGAAAAGGACTCGTATACAAACAGACAGACATTCATTTATATATGTATAGAAGATTTCGAATTAAGAATGAAATTCTTATCTTTTTATCAATATTATTTAAAATCTGGTTTTGTGTCCGACAGTTGAATTCTCATGTCTGGAGCAATATCTAATCTAGTTCTTAATTTAATTTTAGTGCTTGCGTAAACTGAAAATGGATAAGCTGAAAAAAAATTTCCGTTAAAATATAAGAGAAAATAGACGGAAAAAAATGTTGAGAATGGTGAAACGTTCAGAAAAATATTTCCTCAACGTGATTTATTCGATACGAAATATTGAGGCAAATTTTCATAAATGCATATCCTTTTCATTATTCATTCAGCATCTTTAGAATTTCAGAACAAAAGAAGAGTATTTAGAATTTTCTGGTTTCACCAGCATTTCAACTAAATAATTTCATAAAAAATAATGGATAGATCAAATAAATAATGAATATTAATTAATTATTTGGAGATAATTTAATTGCAGATGTCGAAAATCATAAATGGTTTTTAAAAAAAAAATGCGAAGTCGCGGAGCCCCTCTGATCCTTCCACGGAACACAAGGAAACACCATTTGAGAACCGTAGATAAAATCTACGATTCTCAAAAATCTAAAATCTAGGATAAAATCTAGGGAAAAAAAATTATTTTTTTTAATGTAACTATAAAATATAACCGAGGTTTCAGTTTTTGATGTCCATGAATCATAGAAATCTGCCGCTTGGGAATAGAGCCATCGTACCATAGCTATTATTACATCTTCGTATGTGAGAAATTATAGAAAGGACAGGAATTTCTTCAAGTGCATGAACAGGTTGAGGTTAAAAATTTGCAGGAAAGTGTGTAATGCTAAGCCAGCCAGCATACGGTGAATTTCACATAAAAATAAATATGCATAAGTTTCAATGGGAGGTGTTTGACCATCCACCCTAAAGACCTGATCTTGTGCTCTCGCAGTGACTTCCACCTGTTCTTACACCAGCGAAAACTCTTGTTTGGGTTTTACTTTCACCCCAGACGAAGATTTACAAACAGTTATGGCACGCTGACTCCATTCCCGAACTTCAATAATACTGGACAGCATTAACTTATCGCTCGATATTGACAGCTGACACCATACCGGAAGTTTTATGCTGAAGAGTAGTTGGAATACTGTATCTTTTGCAATAAATCTTTCCAAGTAATAATGTTCTGTTCCTTTTTATGGGTCTGGGGAATAATACTTTCTGAATGCCCGAGTACAACTGAAAACATTAATGTCTACGTTGATGTAATGTAGCTTTCCCTCATAATTAACACTGCATGCTGTCAAGTTGCCGTGCTAAATTACCAAATTACTAATTAAATTACTAAAGCAGTGTACACTGTGGCTCAGAATCCAAATTAATGTCTTCAAGAAAATATCTTTAGAAAGATGTTTTAAATATTTATATAAATGTATGCATAATTTATTGATTCACTTTAATAGCTCTGAGGAAAAAAATTAATGAAATTCCAAATTCAGGGGTCCGAACTTTCAGCAGCTATCATGACTGAACTATTGTGAGTAGGGTGAAAAGGACAGTTCTAAGCCATGCATTTTGAGAGGATTTGCAAGCTTATAGCCAAAAGTAGGGTTAAAAAAGTGAACTTTTTAACTATAAACAGCGAAGTTTTTTTATTCTTTTTTTTTCGAACATAGAAAATTTTTCCTCTTTGGTTTTTAATAAATTTTAATTATTAATTAAATTTCTTAATTAACTGTTTTTTGAATTTATTACTTTTAAATTAGAAATGTAATATTATTTTGGAAATCAAAGCGTAAAAATTTTCCTGCTCCAAAAAAAGAACTAAAAATCTCTCTGTTATTGTTAAGGAATCCCCTTTTTGAACACGCCCCCTTCGGCTATATACAGCAAATCCTCTCAAAATTCACGAAAATCCACAAAATCTCTTAGAACTATCCTTTCCCCCCATACTATTTTGGCCATATTTTCAAGATTGTAATCTCCTCAAACTTTATTGCGAGAATAAAAATATAGATCAGGCATTAAAAAAAATTATAAAAAAATACATTTTTGTACCTTATAACGGAACCTAATCATCTGTATTAAATAAGCAGCACATTTAAGTTTATCCCCCCTTTACAAATATTTAAATTGAATTAAATTGAGCGTTTTTGTTCCTTTTATTTTGCACATTACATATAATAAAAACAATTATGCTCAGTTGAAAAAATTTAATTTTATCAAAAATTAATCTTACTCAAGATATTAACCAATTATAGCGAAAATAGAAAAAAAATGACTAAATAAACTTAAAAGCAAACAAATTCAAACTTTTAAGGTCAAAATTCTCATTTTCTCAAATGAATTTAGTGAATTTTTTAAGATGTGTTTTTAACTTAATTCTTTTTTTTTTCTTTATAGGTAATCCAATCATCTGTGATTGTCGTCTATCCTGGTTAATAAAAGCGAAGCCAGATGCACTTTCAGGAACTTGCGCTTTGCCCTCAAAGTACAAAGGGAAAGAACTTAAAGAACTTGATGCTGCTAATTTCAAATGCTAATTATTTGTTCCAATTTATGAAAACAACTTACGATTTTCTTCATAAACAACAACTAAGTTTTTATCCGCAAAAAAAAAAATCCAGTTTAGAATTTGTCTAGTCAAAATGTTCATTAAAATATAGCATTTTATAAGAATCGAAAATTATTTTTTATGAAGTTATTTCTGCTATCATATTTCTGCTGCAGTTTCATTCGTTTACTAAAAAGGAATGAATATCATCAAAATGTCAAATTAAAAATGTTATTTATAAGAAAAGTATACATAAATTTTATGCAAAGAGGAAAAATGAGTCTTAAGAGGCCTCTACCCGCGCCATCTTGGATTTTGGATTAAATCTTTAATTTGCTTTTTCTTGATATTTTTTTTTATAAAAAATTTTAGATGATGTATTATTATTAGACTGCACAATACCCTTTCAAAAACGGTAGAAAATAAAGGGTTTGCTTTATTACACAAGGAAATATGGCTCTTGATGATTTGTAGAACTTCCATGAATTCTTCTTCCGAACTTAAAAGCAATATTTGGTTTTGAGTAAGTACTTCGAAATTACATGCTTCTCAGTTTTTAGATTTTTAAAAATCTAATTTTATCACTGTTTAAACAGAGGAAAACCGATTTGGATCACTCTAAAAAATTTCTTTTAACGCTAATTGCTTAAAAATAATGATATTTAAAAAAAAAGATCTAACAGCAGGCAACTGAATATTATTTAACTACTTAACGAAAACTGCTGATTGCAAAACTGTATTGGCGTAATTTTGTCACAAAAAATTAATAGAGAATTTTAAATACCGTACACTTTATCTCCCAAATTGTCATCGGGTGTTGGCCTTCTGTTTTTCATACATCGAACGATATTGTCAAATAAGGTAAATATCCAGTGTCAGTTCATTTGTGAAAATGAGATAAAAATGATTTAAAGATATTTAGAATTTTCCCTCAACTTCTACCACCCCTTCGGTAGCTGAGTTCGATGGGGAGAGGAAGGATCTCTTAAAAGAGCCAAAACGAATGACTTCCACTAACCACAAGAAACTGCGATAACTAAAATACAAAATGCTCTGTAATCATCACTCTTAATACATATATTTTGAATCTTCGTCAAAAAGGAAGTTAAAGTTAATAGGGGTCTCGACTTTTTTATTGTTTGAGGAAGAAATGGAAAACGCTATAGAAATCTTTTGATTACTTTAATGAATAGTGGAATGAAAAGCATTAAAACGATTTTGATTAAACATGGGATTGTTTCCAACCATTTTAACTTCTCTGTATTTCTTCCCGCTGTCAAACAGGTTTCAATGCTTTCTCTCCTGTATTCCCTAGTAGAGATTCAATTGAATTTCAATAACTATTGTGTTTTAAATTCACCTTAACATTAAATTGTTGTCCCTTGTATGTTTTTTAGTTTATTTTTGACAAGGCTTGTAGAAATATATATTGAGGGTAATCATTATGGAAAACCTTGTATATCACCCGTTAAATGTTTATTGGATGTGACATACAATGACACAGTCTTTGAAAGGCAGCCTTAACATGCAATCTTTTAAGTTCTTATCAAAACTGATATAGAAAAACTTACATTTTGGGAGTCACAAATAATAGTATTTAGGCGAGAAAAAGACGCAATTAAAATGGAATAATTAACAAAATAAAGCATGATTAAAAATATCGAAAACCCGTTAGATTGCCGGAAAAATATAGAGAAAGTAAAGGCGAATAACTGAAACACCTTTAAAATTCAATACTACTTATTCTGATATTTGCCCCAGCCTACCTCAATGATCGTTAGCTAGAATTTTGATAAAAATTTCCTCACTAAAATATTGATTTGTGATCCATAATGTGAATATTTTACTTCATTTTTTGAAGGATTTGCAGAAATTAAAAAGCTGTGATTACTAAATTTTTCTTTTTGCAAACAAAAAAAAGTGAGTCAAAATACCATGGAATGGAATCTAGTGGCAGATTAAAAATTATCTCACAAGATCCCTGGAGGGAAAAAATGTGAAACTGTATCTTTCCAGTTCAAAATTCTAAAAGCTTTTAAAATTAATATTCTTGTAGAGTATTAGTCTTGTAGAATAGTAGTCTCTTGATGTAGAATTTCATCAAAGCAAATTTTTCTTCTAAATTAAGACTGAGAAAAATTGGAAAATATGTGGATAAATGATGGTTAAATAAAGTTAATATATAAATATATATCCGATTATTTATGTAATGGTAAATTATTATAATCTTTCATAACTTAAGTTGAAAGGTTACATGTCAGAGAAAAGAGATTAGCTTGTTTGCTGTTAAAGTGATGTAAATATTTACATATAAATCATGTATCAATATGATCTATATTTACAGCTTTAATACAATAACCAGGACTTAAAAAATGCAAAAAATGCCTTTAAAAACATAATGACTTAAAAATAAAAATTTATACCTTTAAATATTTTCGGAGACAGCTCTTGTATCAACTTTTAAAAAATATTATAAATAGGAACTTATAATTTTAAATTTAATAAAGAATAAGATAGTTAAAGTATGTAATTTGTAAATAAAACGAATGTAACTAAATAGCTCATAAAAATAAATAAAAATTCATTAATTTTTAGTTACTGTTCTCAAAAATATCAGAACAGCATAGTTTTCATCATCGTCTTTTCCTTGTAATTATTAGTTTTTTTTTCTCGATATTCTTTAAATTGGAAAACTTCCTATTGGCTAAAGAGAAAAAAACCCTCTTTTGTGTTGAAAAAATGAGTTCAGCATCAAAACTTGTTATTAGAAACCCTAGATAATAACAAGATTCAATGCAAAATTTACTCTAATTTATAAAGAAAGGAATTAATTAACAATAAAAATAATCTTAAAATTAAAAATACCATTAATTATACCATAAGTAACTATTAATAAAAAAAAAATTCAAAAATTATAAATAAAAAAAACATGCTTTATACTATAACCATAATAATCCATAAACCTTTATAAAGGAAAAAAACTACCAAAAATTTTTTTAAAAATGCATTTATCCTCAATATCCTAGCCCTGGTAATGATCGTAATTATCATACCTTGTAATTGTAATCATCATAGTAGTACTCAAAAGACGTGAAGGTAAACCTTTAATCTAAAATACAAAATTATATTATATGTTAATAAATACAGCGATACAAAATCTCTACTCTTCGATCTTGGCGAAAAATATTAATTCTTGTTTTGGATGCATTCCTTTGTTTGGTGAGTAACTGGCAACGGTGTCTCTTCGTTACTCATTCGGGATTTTACAGTTAGAACGAGACCACTTAAAACTATTACAAGTCCAAAAAAGATGGAGGCGTTGGCCGAGTAAGGTAAGTCCACTGACCAATTGGAGACTCCAACACCGACGAATGAGAATCCAGTGATGAGAAGAATACCTCCAGCTAACATCTGATGACCATCAGAAGACATTTCGATTTCAATAGCTAAAATTTAAAATGAAATCAATCTACAGAATATTTAATTTAGATTGCATGTATTAGCAAGTCTGATGGTTGGCAATCGGCAAAAACACAAATCTGAGTTAAAAGAAGAACTATTTTTTCTGAATTTCAGATTTTCTTTTCTCTGAAAATTTATTTTAAAAAAATACTAAAATGTTTAATTTTGCTCATAAGTCGAGCATCAGTATATATATATATATATATATATATATAAGAGGCAGTGGTGTCCTATCTGGGTCAAAAATTTAGGAAAGTTCATAAATATAGAATACAATATATTTAATAAACAACATTATTCACAAGAACATTACCCCGTAAGTGGGGACAATTGTAACAAGTGCACGACTGTCAAAAATTGTTAATAACTAATATATTAACATTTAAAATAAGGTATTCATTTTTTTTCTTCTAGTAGAGGATAGTCTACTTTACTCGTCTGTCAATTAATACTAATAATATATTGGATTTTGTGTTAGTTAAAAATAGTTTAGTAAAAAATTTTACAATTGACCCCACTCTCCCCTACTAATAGATAAAAGTAAGTGAGAAATAATGATATTTAACAAATATATTTTATTCGACACTTATGAATTTCTTTAATACTTGTTAAATATCATCATTTTTCTCTTAAAATGACAAATATTTGTATCAGACATTCAACATACAAAAAGAATAAATCTTAAATAAAAAATAAATTACAATTTTCTGTTACTTACGTCAACGCATGTTGAATATGAACTTATGCAGAAGTGTAAATGAGAAATAACGGTATATACCAAATACATTTCATTCATCATTCATTCAAAATTTGTTAAATATTATTTTTCACTGACAGTGCTGTATATCGGCATGTGCCGATATAAATAAGCAAGAAATAACGATACGTAATAATTAGGAACATTCACTTTTACAAATAGTACATCAGACATTCAGCATGCACAATCAGTACTTGAAAAAAATTATAATTTTCTCTTACTTACAGTGCAGGATGAATAGGACCCCACGCGGTGCATAAAAGAGAAATAACGGTATATACCAAATACATTTCATTCATTCAAAGTTTGTTAAATATTAATTTTTTACTCTCAGTGCTGAATATCGGCATGTGCCGGTATTAGTAAGTGAGAAATAACGTTACTTAACAAATATTTCTACCAGTTATTCTAACAATGAGAAATGCATCAGACATTCAGCAGACAAAAACAGTAAAGCTTGAAAAAAAATTACACTTTTCTCTTACGTACATCAACGCATGATAAATATCTGATGTTGAATATATGACCATATGTGGGTTCTTAAATAAGCAATAATGGCCACAAAAACTTATTAAATATTTTTATCTTTTACTGACAGGGCTGAATTTTGTCATGTGCCACTTTAAGTAAGTGAGAAATATAGATGCTTAACAAATATTTCGAACATTCATCTGAGGAATTTGCAAATATTGACATTCACTGATTACAGTCTTGAATAAACACTAGATATGCAAAATACATACGGTACCTTATGAATTTCAAACCACACTTTTCGAAGAGCAGCAAAATTTCAAAAAGTATATCGATGAATATTTCTTAGACCACCCTAAACGAGAACCCATAGAGTGCCTCTAAATATCAGGGACTCTAGAAAGGGGGCTCGAGCAGGGATAACTAATGAGAATACTTTTTATCATGTTATTCTCATATTTTAAACAAATCTGATAAAAGTATTTACTGGAGTATACAATAAATCCTGTCTATCTGATGGGCATTCATTTTAGGAATTCGTTCGATATATTAAATAGTAAATATATTAATTACCAATTTAACCCTCAGGGCACAACCTCCAATGCATTCGACAGCATTTGGTCTAATTTAGAAAAAATATATATATTGACTGATTTTTTTCTGGTTGCATAAAGCGATCATCTAAATAAAAAAGAAGGAAAAAGAAAGAAAAGAAAAAAAGAAAATAACTGGTTTTACTCTTGCTAGTCGGAATTTTCAATTGCCGTTGGAAATTGTAAAAATGGTAACGACTTAGTTGATTAAGTGTTTATTACCAGTCAAATAAGTAAAATTTATCAAATAAAAAGTAACCACAATAACTTTTTAAATAAGTATCCGATTTTTAAGCAATTGGTATTATATGGATTTAAATAGTCTGTCTATTAATATCATTTTTACCTTTTCTGTTTTTTACCATGCGTTTGAATTAATTCTGCGAACGAAAAAAATTTTACGTTCAACTGTAAATCTCATTGTCATTGTCACTCAAGAATACGGATTTTTTATCATTATCAAATAAAAGTAATTTATACTAAATTATTTTAAAAATAGTTTTTAACGTATTTAACTTAATATCGTTAATTATATATTATAATATTTTTATAATATATAATTATCGATATTATAATATTTTTATAATATTTTTAATATTATTTATTTTTAAATCATAAAGTTATAAGAATGTATACATCACGTGGTACGACATATTAGCTTTAAAGCAAAAATCAAAAACTTTAAATAATTCATTCTTATTTAGTTTGAATGGAATAACAGTTCCAAAAAAATAAATTTCCCTTGCAATAAGCCGAATTTTTTAAATTATTATTCTTAAGGAATATTTGAATAACTTATTTTAGATTTTAGCATAAGTTGTGTAACTTATTTATAAGTAAACCCTGCTAATGAGCTTTTTCAGATTAAAATATAATAAAAGTTAATTAATTAATAAATTTAATATGAAATAATAATAATGGGAATAAAAATAATAAACGACAGCTGCAGTTTTCGCCCAAGATCAGTAAAAATATCCGGATCCACCGGAAATTGTTTCGACGTGACGTCATTTCGCCATCATTTCTGTGTTTATATTTTTATTATACTTTGGAGAAGGAGATATCTTCATACGATTATCTATCTTATACAATTTTTCTTAATGATACAATATTTAATATTATTCTTTGAATATTTCTATTTATTCTTAAATAATTTGTATTTTTTCTTATAATTTAATTTCAGTTGATATTTCATTAATTTATATATATGCTTTAAGAATATCTCTATTTGTTATTATTTTATTATTTACCACGTTATTTTGATTATAATTATACTTTAAAAATACGAATCTATAATATTAAATAATTTAAAATCAACCTGTAACTGAAATTAAAAGTTATTATTAAATTGGTAGGTTAACTCACAAAGAAGCATAACAGTTTGCTATACCTTTATAGACGCCAAAGATGCTTGATTAAATTCGTTATTAGATAATAATTTAATTTTTTAAAAAAGGCTATGTTCTAGAAAGCCAAATTAATGAAGAAAATTACTTTTTCAGGTAATCTTGAAAAATTGCTATACTATTATTGACTCCAAAATGGCTTAATTAATTTTAATGATATGTACAAGTTGAAATACAAAAGTTCTGTACTAAAAAGAAAAATTAATGGAGAAAATTCGTTTAAGATAAACGGTAAATATGAAACAGTTATAGTACGCTAAAATAATTTATTTAATTTTGGTGATAAATAGTAAGTTAAATGACAAAGAAGCAAAACACGCTATGATTAAAATAAAAACATAAATCAAAATTAATTGAGAAATAGTACTAAAACGTTTAGAATTATCTGAGGTATCAACATATTATTATTATTGATGCTTAATTTATTTTGGTAATAATTACTGATTTGAATTTAAAATAAGCTACGTAAAAAGTAATATTAATCGATAAATGAAACCAATCGTTAAAGAGAAACATAAATAATTGCCAAATTATTATTGACGCTAATGATACTTAATTAATTTTGGTAATAAGTACTAAGATATAAGTACTGTAAAGCCAAATTAATAGAGAAATCGCACTAATTCACTTAACAGAATTGTAAAAAATCGCCACATTACTGATGCTTAATTAATTTTGATAATACACACTACTGGTATTACGGTAATTTGTGCAGCTTCAATGAGTACTAAATGTGCAAATACAGGTATCATTAGTATATTTGAAACCTATTAAAACTGCATCAATACTGGGAAGCTTTAATATAGATGCTGTAAAAAGGGAATTTTTACAGTCCCTCTTAAGAGATAAGTACCAAAGGAAATCACAAGATTGTAGTAAATTTTTACAATCATGCCAAATGATTCTGAATGCAGTTAATCTTAATTTTGATAAGATGAACTACGAAAAATGTATTTTAGTTAATCTAATAACGTAAAATCATATGGAAAGACAAAATATAATAAAGTTAAGAAATCAAATTATTTTAATCTTATTAATTACGCTAGTTTATGTCTTTCAGTTTTGTGCAGGATTTTGTAATGTGGTTCAGTACTGATATATTAATCGGTTACTATATTCCTCTCCGCATAAAGAACGGGTATTCAGCTAGTATTTTTAATAAATTCATCTACTTAGTTATTTAAATCTTGAATTAGTCATTCCTGAAAATATTTAATCGACAATAATTGTAAAGAGATTTTCTCTTCTAACACACAAACAACTACTATTATTAAAATGCTCCAGTGCAAATGCAAATTAGTTTCAATAAAATAGCATATCACCACTAATTTCACTTTAAATTATTTTCTTTATCAGTAAAAGAGCAAAATCGGTCTAATAGTTTCCGAGAAATCATATTTAGAAAAAGTCGTATTTTTTCAATTCCATTTCTGAGGAACTATTTAACCGAAATATATTATTTTGCCGAGTAAAAATGCATTATTTAAAATGATGTAAGAAATTTTATACCTTACTATTCAACATTTGTTCGACTGTTATTAAATAAAATTATAAAAAATAATAAATTCGCTCTAGAAATTGTTTTTCTCGTGGAATTATCTGTGCGGCTAAACGAATTTTATAATTGCGTGTAAATTTTTTTTCAATTCGCTTAAATATTTCTCGAGAAATGGCGAAATACACAAAAGGTAAAATTAACATTAAGAGGTCAAAACTTTGAAACCCTCTCCTGACCAAAACTATTGCGACCATATTTCCCAGATTGTGGCTACTCCCTGTATTTTGAGGATCAGAAATCCAAATCCCTCGAAAAAAAAGTTATGTTATTCAGAGAAAATACGTTTTTGTGTCTGATTTCGTAACTTAACTACTCATACAGTGCACAAAATAAAAAAACAGACTATCCTAAATAACTTTTGATCTAATGATCGGAACTTCACGTTCCAGAACTCAATTTTATTGATTCAAAGAGGTACCCTCAAATATGCTAATTAATTATTGCAGGCAATATTTGAAATTACAAATTCAGGCACAAAAACGTACTTCCTCTGAATAAACATGCCTTTTTTCCCAACGAATTTTGATTTCTGGCCCTCAAAATATACGGGATAGACTCAATCTGGGAAATAGGGTCCCAATAGTTTGGTCAAGAGAGCACTCCAAAGTTTTGACCCCTAAATGTAAATTTCACTTTTTGCTTATTTTGCCATATCCCGAAAACTTTTTAAACGAATTGAAAAAAATCTTGTACACAGCATTTGGGGGATCAGCCAAACCACTCGGGCAGGGATTCCTTATTTATTAATTTATTATATCCGGAGATTATTACTCATATATCCAGAGGCTTGAGTTCTTAGCAAAATGAACGGCTATAAGACTTTAACAAGTTGAACAAATGATAGCATAAACTAGAGATGGGCACCACAAAGATACAACCAGGTTACGGCTAGATTTGATCCCGCTACCTCTACGATTCAGAGCGTTTAGCGGAGCAGTTTCCACATTGCACCAAACCAAACGGTTCTAGAATTAAAGTCAGAATAGTGATTCTTTCTCGATTGCTTGGAATTACTTCCCTGACAATCAAGCCTTCACACCGAGTCAAAGGTTCCTTTTTTTCTTACACACTTTCTATGTATTGTCTTATATTATTTATACTCTCCCAAGGTTTTGGTGCACCTTTATTTGGTGTAGGTGTGTGTTTGCGCCCACTTCAAACTTAACAATGCTACAGATCCCAGTTGTAAAAAAAAAAAATTGACTCAGTTCTATTCACCTCATAAATTTCTATTCATCACAATATACCTTTTTGATACACAGAGGATAAGAATGAAATATTATTTATTTATTATTACACTTACATATGCAACGGCCTATAAGCCCTAGTCATGTTTAAGAACAGATACGCATATTAGAAAATTACATCCAAAGGTACAGGATTCGAACTCAATAACTCTACGCTGCAGAGTGAGAGACTCGCCCAGGGCGAACTTAGTCCTCCAACTTACTCATCCAGATCCTCTTATGCAGGTACATTATTTACGTCGCACTTGAGCTTCACAATGGGATATTGAAGACGATCTGGCAAACATCCCTGATGATGATCCGAGAACATGCCATCACAATTTTGATCCTATGCAGAAGGGATCTCAACAGTGAGGCCACTTCCTCAATTTAGACATAGATCTGATGGGGAAGGAAATTTTCTCCAGATTCCTGTTCCCATGTTACTGCTCAGCAACCGATCATAGGACTTTCGATTGCACAGATTTTACGAACACGTATATCGCATATATTCGGTGAGTCTTAGCGGAGTCGAGATCGAACTCTTGCGCCTCAGGATTGGAGTCCGATTCTCTAACGATTGGGCTACCACTGCCTTCCAGTTCCTTTTACCTACTGTAACTACTATTACCTCCACCCACTACTACTACTTCTTCTACCATTGTCTTATGATCTGAACTATCGTGTTTTTACTTTTGACGTTGTATTATCAGTTTGTTTGATTTTAAAATCTTTAATATAATGGAAGTCAATATCAATCTAAAGTAAGCATATATTATATTCTTCTTTTAAAATTTGATTTATTAGCTAATTTTATATTATATTTATTTATAAGTGGATGTTTATATGTTAATTTTATCCCAAACGTGTCCCAAAGGGCTTTTAACTTCTTACTTTATTTTCCTGTGTTTATTTATATTCATCAATAAAATCAATTTAAAATGTGGACTTTTTCGTTCCCTGACAAATATCAAATGTTTAAAAGAAAAAACTTATGGAATTTTCGATATAAAACGACTCACTATAATTAATCTCTGTTTTCAACAGGAGGTTTTAAATTGAATGCTTAAAGTAGTGTCGTAATTAGCTTTCATACTTTTTCCGTGCGTCTATTTTTGTTCTTTTCATAAACCTCTTCAGAACCGGCAGAATGAGAAAGAGCTTCCCCAGGCCTGCATACTCAAAGAGTATACGTACTAATGGGAGATGTAATGCGAGAGGACCGTTATGGTATCGCGTGCCCTTGCTCCGCTGGAGACAAAAAGGTTCCCTTGGTAACTCTAGCCACAAATATGATTTAATCCCTATAAAATTGAAAATTAAAATTACTTTTCTCAAACTAACGGAGAATTCAAGCTGCATAGAAATTTTGGCAGAACAACGTTTTGTAGAATCTGTAAAATCCGATTTTTCATATACATTCGGACCCCGCTATAGTGTACCGCTTGCGGATCCAGCTATAAAGTCACTATTTAACGATGGTTCACTATATCCAAATTCTTTAAAAAGATATTTCTTAACATATTGCAGCAGTATTGTGATTACAATAGTACATTTGCTTTATGAATGACAAACTAAATATATAGTTTGCTTACAACGTAGTTTCCTTATAGAAACGTTCCTTTCAAAAACATAACATTCCTTAAAAAATTAAAATATCCCTAATAACGAAAAAGGGGTCTTTTAGCGAAATTTTTGACTTATCTTTTTAATTTCCATAATTTCTCAGAATTTTTTTTTTATGTTTATTTCTTTTATTTTCATCATTTTTCGAAGAAAGATGTATTTAAAATAAGAATTCCCGAGTAACGTACTCTTTCTCCCATGCCTGTTTTAGAACTACCCGTATTATTCCTTTCAGTGAAATCACTCAAAAGAACCCTTATATAATTATATAATTTTATAATTATATAATTTTTAATTATATAATTTTTTATTATAAGTCATAATTAATTTTTTTTTATTTCATCAATTTCAAGTATTTATTAACAACTGTTTAAGAAGAATCTTGCATGTCAAGTTCAAATCATTTTAAAGAATGTAATTTTACCAGGCAAAATACAAAATTTAAGTAAAATCTGTTAATTGTTCCCGAGAAATTTTAATTTCGAAAATTCAGATATTTAAAATTCCTTGGACAATTCAACTAATTTCGCTCAAATTTTGTATTTTGCGACGTGAAATAACATACTTTAAAATGATGTAAAAAATTGTATTCCCTAAAGTTCGAAATGTTTTCGACAATTTAAATAATATATATATATACTGATATTAATTTTTGCACGTAATTATACTGTTAATAAAATTGTACTGTTTAATAAAACTGGAAGGACGTCTGAAAATTTCTAAAATAATAAACAATACAACCAACCTAGTACAGAATAATTATTTAAGTTCCATTTTATATATAATGCCGTGGGCACTGAAGAGAGAATAGCGCGATCACGATCATGGTTCTGAAGGGGGGTAAAAAGAATTATCTGTTACTTTAAATATTTAAAAAATTTCTGTTTAACTAATTGCATAGAGTATTTTAATACTAGAATTAAAAATTCGTTAAGTGCCGATTATTTTTATATTTTTCAAAAGCGTGAGACCCAACATCCATTATATTGGACAACCTTTGGTATTTGACATTTTATAACGAAAAAAATATTTACAAAGAGATTATCTTGATGAGATAATTGCTTTAGTAATCTGCGTTTTTAATAACAATGACAAGATTCAGAAAATCTTTGGAACAGGCTTCCGGAGATTTTTACCTCCCGTTTCCGGAGATAAAAAAAAATAACTTTATAGCTTCACTAATGAATTGAGATAGGATAATTTTCCTTTACATATAGTTTTCCTTCACTGCTATTGCTATATGTTCATTTAAGAATAGAGCCTAATTTAGGGGAAAAAGGCGTAAAGATACATCCAGGCTTACAGCTGGAATCGACATAACTATCCCCGACGCTTTAGAGTATTTTGCCAAGGGATAAAAAATACTTTGTCACAGAATCTAATCTAGTTTTATCTACCACTAACTGTGAAATAATTGTTTTTCCAAGCTATAAATCATAAAACTTTGAACTTTTATACTTCACAGACTGTATTTTCTTTACTTAGCTTTATAGTCAGTCCATAGTACAGTTCTAGTGCGACGTAAATAAGGTGCTACTACTAGTCCCGCTTTAACAGCTTTCAATTCTGTCTTTAATGTGTAATTAACTCATTTTGTAATTTAATACTTATTATTTAGTAATTCTATCGCAAGTATAATTCGCGTGAATTGAGATATTATCTAATAGTCTCTTTGGCTGAGCGATCTTTACGTTTCTATAAGCGATTTTTAGCATGTAGGTTGTGGGATCGAATCCCACCATTATCCTTTGACACCAATCTCTAACTTACGCTAATTCTTGGACATGATAAAGACTTATAGAAAGACATATTTTGTAATTCGCACTCAAGCCTGCCTAGATATGTGTAATAATGAAGCACAACCTACGGCAAATGCCGGAAAATTGTGAAGTAGCTGTAAGGAAACAAAACTAAAGAAAAATTGTGTAAAATTACCATCTTTGGAGAGAAAAATGACATCTCTCTGTTGCCCTAAGTCCATCAATCTAAGTGAAATTTAAGTAAGTACATAATTTCTTAAGTAAGAACTAAACTAGATAGGATTTTTTTTTTCTTTCAGAGATAACATATGGCTAAATGTGAACAAGAACATAATGGCTTTCGTATTTGTGCCCACGTTTTTAATATATTCCTTTGGAATTCACCACGTTCTTACTCTCAGACAAGCCAACTGTGCGACAGCATCTTTCATTGTGGGAGACATCTTGTAGAATAGAGGGGATCCTGGAGCACTTCTTAGAACTGTACTGGCATCCATCTGCTTATTTCTGCAGTACAGTGACAGCAGCAACTGTGTGGCTTTGAATAGTTTTTTCATTCTATTCTTCATGATGTACGTCAATGGATTCGTGTACTACATCGGTTTCATGAGCTGTGGTACATTATTTTATGCATTATCACCTTATGTTAGAATACCAAATGATATTAACCTTCGATCTATTTCAGAATTTATGTATAGATTATGCTGCTGTTTGTTTTGTTTCTATCTCTCATTATTCTTCATCGTGAAAACTGTATTAGTGCTGCTTATTCAATACTTTATTGGTATATTTAGGGAGTTTTTTAGAATCATCTTTTAAAAATGCTTTAGAATCGCTGTGCATGGCTAATAGATGATGCAAGTATGTTGTACAAAGATTTCCAAATAAATCACTTATTTTTTTGCAGTGTCTCTAAAACTGATTTCTAAAAATGCAAGTTAGTATCAAAATTAACATTTATATTAGGTTTTTATTTTACTCAAATTTATTATTGAGATTCATAACCGTAAAGGTTTTGTGGAAGAGATGTCAGTTAGCTACCAGCTCGGATCAAATCTGATGCGTTTAGCACCGCAACTGTGTGCTCTAACAAACATAGAAAAAGCTTTCTATAATTGTAGCTGCACACTTACCCCTTCAATGAGCAAATATCTGGATACAGGCCACCAGAAAAAATTTTCATCGCAAATTGTCTTTTACCTCCAAAAGTAATTTAAATTATAGAAAAAGTGAGTTCTGACAAACCTAGAAATCATGAAGTTGAGGAAGGTGAAAACACTGAAACATTAAAGTAATTTTTAATTTTTAAAGTGCAGAAATGAAAACAAATTATGAGAGGATAACTGAGGATTACTGTCTGGGAAACATCCTTGAGGATAATCCAGAGAAACGTCTTCCCAATTAGGATTCTTAGCACAGTGAATCTCATTTAGGAAGCCACTTCCTCAATTTAGACATAAATATGAAGGGTAAGTAAATTTTCTCCAGTACTGCTCAGTGACAGACTATAAGATTTGATTCCACAGATTTTACGAGCACGTATGTCGCATGTACTCGGTGAGTATGTAGTGGAGGTGCGGATCGAACTCCGACCCCTTGGAACAGGAGTCTGATTCTCTAATCACTGAAGAAATTAATGGTAAAAAAAGGAAAGAAAAATGTTATCAAAATTTAACGGATGATTATTGATAACAATTACATTGTGGATGGGGTAGGAAGTTCTAAAGAAAATTAAATTGTTAAGCTAAAGTTTAACTATGTTAAACCAAAGTTTATAGAAGATCGGTGTTAACAGTCCATGGCAAAAAAAAAGGTTGAAATTAAAATCTATTTAAAAATCTTGTAGTAAATTGATAATCTTAATTACAGACACAAAAGATTGGTTTCAAACAAAGAATAGTAAGGCCAAGATTATGATTTTAATATTTGGATTTGGATATGTGCAAAAATGAGAAATCGTGTTTTGCGATTATTTTTATCGAATCACGTGATAAAATATGTGTTGAAATGACGCACTAAATTATTAAAGTAAAATTATAAACGACATACAAAATTCAGGAGCCTCCAAGGCCTAAAGGTCTCACTGTTTCACAAAATACTCTGTAGCATAGAAGTTGTGGGTTCGAATCCGATCGTAATCTGGGATATAACTCTGCGGTAGGTTTTCTTATTTTACACTGTCTGTTTTTTGACTCAACAAAGACTTTCAATTCGTACTTTGTAAGGAGCTCATAAGTTTGTATAAGTATGTGTATAAATAAATAAAAACACAAACGAAATTTATACGTAATATAGTTGAAAAGCAGACAGGATGTTTAAAAAAACCTTGTGCACGTTTTAATGCTAGCCGATTTAGTTTTGTACATATATTCACGCTTATTCACACGCATAAGTTCACGCTTGTGTGCTCAAAATAAAGTATGGGCTATAAGCCCTTGTAAATTTGAAGAACAAAGAACAGATTGCACAAAAATGCATTAAGGGTTGTGTTAAAATTCGATACCTCTACCTTCACACTTCAGAGCATCTGGAGGAGCGTCTTCATGTTGCCCTTAACCAAACAATTCTGGAATTAACACATATAAGCTCACGAACTGGGTACACATACATGTATACTCTTTTACAAGAGTATATAAGTTAGTTCGATTCAGTCGAATTTTTTTCCAAGTTAATTCAACTAATTAATAGCTTTAATTGCAAAGCCTCTGCAATCGTCTGGGAATAAAAGTGTTACTTCCAGAACAAAAATACATCCAGGGTTACGGCTGGACTCGATCCTACTACCTTTATGATTATGAGCGTTCAGCTAAGTAGTTGCCTTAGTGCACCAAACTTTGCAAGAAAGAAAATATCGTTGGTTCAAAACTAAAACGACACATCTGCAAGCATAATACGTTTGCAGATGTGTCGTTTTAGTTTTGAACCAGCGATATATAACTTGATAAGCGCTTATAAGTTGTACATTGTAACAGCAATTAACAAAATGAACAAACAAAATTCACGCATATAATAGTTGAAAAACATGCAAGATGCTTTTAAAATTCCTGTTGCAAATTTGCAAGAGAATTCATTTTATTTATTTATTTAATGTTAAACAGCATGATTTTCAAGCTTGTGTGTTTATTACAAAACAGGGCTCGCCAGTTATTGTGAAATTGAAAAAAAGGTATTAAAAATTAAACAGAAACATCACAAAGATTTATCTTGTGTTACAGCGGGATTCGGACCCTCTAAGCAGCGTTTCGTTGATCAGTGAGACCACTCGGCCAGGGAGCCCCCATTTATTTATTTATTACTAACAGAGATTGTCACTCATATAACTGGAAGCTTGTGTGCTCATCAAAGTAAATATCAAATTGAATAAATGATAGCTGTTGTTGTTGTTGTTGTTGTTCATTTACGTCGCACTAGAGCTGCACAATGGGCTATTGGCGACGGTCTGGGAAACATCCCGGAGGATGATCCGAAGACATGCCATCACAATTTGATCCTCTGCGGAGGGGATTGCACCCCCGCTTCGGTAGCCCGACGACCTGCGCGCGAAGTCGAGCACTTTACGGTAGCACAGTTTAACGAGGACCAATACCGCACACCCTCGGTCCCTACGCAGACTGATCCAAGTGGTCACCCACCCGCACACTGACCGCAGCCAGTGATGCTTGACTTCGGTGATCTGCTGGGAACCGTGTCTTAACGATCAGTCCACTGCGGGACAAATGATAGCACAAATTAGAGATGGACATAACAAAGATACATCCAGGTTATGTTTATGGCTAGATTCGATCCCGTTACCTCTACGCTTCAGAGTGTTTTGCGGAGCAGTTTCCTTATTCTACCAAACAGAATGGTTCTGGAATGCACATTAAGTTCACATACTAGGTATACATGTAAACACTTTTGATAACTAAGTTAATTAATCTGAGTAGCTGTGTCTCTTTGATCGCCTAAAAATAAAAGTTCCCGCTGGCATTCAAAGAGTTTCTCTCCTTTTAACACGATTTCAAAGTAGTGTGTGTTTCATATTATGTTTATGTTCTACAAATATTTTAGCGCTCGATTTTTTTTTATTTGTGTTTGCCCATTAGAAACTTAAAAGCAAGACAGAATTTATCTACGAATGCCGAATGCATAAGCTCTATTTTATTCATCTAGTGGGAGGGAATTGATGAGTTAACACTCATCAATTCCAACCCACTAAAATATACCTTTTTTAGACACAGAGATAGCCTGGCTGGAAGGGTTTATTAGTTTATTGGAATCAAATACATCTGCAGGGCTTGTGTTCTCAATTTAGGCTTATAAACATTTGTCAAATAGTGGGATAGGTAGCACAATACAGAGAAAGACAGCGCGGGCATACATCCAGGGCGTCAGCGGGATTCGAACCGGCTACCTCCACGATTTGTACAGCTTTAGGTGGGCAATACCACTCGGTTAGGAAGGCGTTTTGCTTCATTTACGTCACACAAAGCTGCAAAATGAGCTATTTCCGAAGGTCTGGCAAGCATCCCTGAGGATTATCCGAAGATAAGCTATCACAATTTTGATCCTCTGCAGAGGGAATGGCATCCCTGCTTCGATAGCCCGATGACCTGCACGCGAAATCGAGCACTTTACGGTAGAACAGTTTAGTGAGGACCAATACCGCACACCCTCTGTCCCTACACAGACTGATCCAAGTAGTCATCCACCCGCACACTGTCCGCAGCCAGTGATGCTTGACTTCGGTGATCTGCTCGGCACCGTGTCTTAACGACCTGTCCACTGCGGTACAAGACCCCCTGGCCTAGTGCGAGGGATCATGAGCTCGATTCCTACCGCCAGAGATTCCCTGTGTATAAAATGATCACAGGTGCACTCTAAATCTGTCGGGGTCAGAAAGCTCTCCAAGTTCCCATAACAAATCAATACTTCTGTGTGTACTGGATCTTAGATTGATTGTGCTCTGGTTCAAGTCAAAATTAGTATTAGCGGATGAATAGATGGTGTGTGAATGCGTCTTTCCTCTAAAACGGAATATGACGTATATGTGTTTTCTCCAGATAATTCTTAGGGATGTTTCCGAGAACGTTGCCGATAGCCAATTGTACAGCTCTAGTGCGATGTAAATAAAAGCATTATACCGTGCCGTTCAAGACACTAAAGATACGAAAGACAAGTATAAATCGACTCTTTAACTACAACTACTTCTGTCATTTTTTAATGCACTGATCTATCGTGTTTTTATTTTCTACGTCCGATCTTCAACTTGTTTGAATTATAAAACCTGATTTATTATGGAAATCAATATCAATTTAAGGTAAGCATATGTTATTAGTTAAAAATTTTAATTATTAGTAGCAAATAATATGTGTTAGTTTTCTTCTATCGCATACTTGTTTTAAAAGCTTTTTGTATGTAAACATATTTTAATAGGGAATAAAAGTGAATAGTACAGATCCACTTATTCACCTCCANCACTGATTATATATGAGCTAATCCATTGGCTATCACTGTCCGGTAGTGACCTTTTTCTCTGTATCTATTTCATTGGTGCCAATAGCCAATTGTACAGCTCTAGTGCGAGGTAAATAAAAGCATTATACCGTGCCGTTCAAGACACTAAAGATACGAAAGACAAGTATAAATCGACTCTCTAACTACAACTGCTTCTGTCATTTTTTAATGCACTGATTTTTCGTGTTTTTATTTTCTACGTCCGATCTTCAACTTGTTTGAATTCTAAAACCTGATTTATTATGGAAATCAATATCAATTTAAGGTAAGCATATGTTATTATTTAAAAATTTTAATTATTAGTAGCAAATAATATGTGTTAGTTTTCTTCTATCGCATACTTGTTTTAAAAGCTTTTTGTATGTAAACATATTTTAATAGGGAATAAAAGTGAATAGTACAGATCCACTTATTCATCTCCATCGAGTCAAACAAAGTTGAATTCTAACTTTTTTTTCTGTTTATCTAACTCTTTATAAGGCTATGCGAAGCATACTGACCACCAACTTCATTGATTTTTGATTGTCGATGAGTAGCTTTTTTTCATCTATGATGCGATCATCTGCTCATAACTTTAGAACATACAAAAAAAAATAAACTACTCTCTTTTCATATTGTGGAAAGGTTAGTGTTAGGGCCAGAAAAAAGACTAACGCTGAGGAGCTGTTTTTTCTTGTGTGTTCGTTCACTTTATCGTTTCTTATTGAATTTATTTCTAGTTATAAAAACAGAATTTGTAAATTTCTTTATTTATAAGCACAGAAGAACTTTATTTCATTATGTAAACTTTTGAAATTGAGGAGAGATCAAATTTTGATACAATATAAATCCTAACTTTTGTATCGAAATTTAAAAAAATACAAAAGACTCAAGGGATAAAATCCTCTTTTAGTTTGAAGTGTTTTAGAAATAAAGTTATCGTTATGTGCAAGTATTATTACTTTTTATTGTAAAACATGGCCTATATTCCTAATTTGAAAAATTTGTTTTTTCCAAGTATGGTTAATCCTTTCGCTCATGGGCTGTAATAGCGGGAAAACTCAAAAAAACCAAGTAACATTGATTATGTTATGATAAACATGTTAACAAAATGTTTTTACGCAAAATTATAATTTATATACTTTATAAAGAAAATTATCCTTATTTATAAAATATATTATAATAAAAATATCATCCTTTTAGAAATTAAAAAGCAGATTACCGAAGTCAAGCATCACTGGCTGCGGTCAGTGTGCGGGTGGGTGACCACTTGGATCAGTCTGCGTAGGGACCGAGGGTGTGCGGTATTGGTCCTCGTTAAACTCTTCTACCGTAAAGTGCTAGACTTCGCGCGCAGGTCGTCGGGCTACCGAAGTGGGGGTGCCACCCCCTCTGCTGAGGATCAAAATTGTGATGGCATGTCTTCGGATCATCCTCAGGGATGTTTCCCAGACCGTCGCCAATAGCCCATTGTGCAGGTAAGGTGAGACGTAAATGAACAAATCTTCTGCTTTTGTCAGCCCTTATCTCATTTTTACCGTTTAAGCATTATTCAATGTTATTTTTAATTTGTAACTCAATTTATACTTTAATATCTATCATTCAGTTAATTCTATCAAAAATATTAAATAATTATATTTAACTGTTAAACTGAGATTATTTTAAATATTTTTAACCATACTTTGCATTTGAATGGAAGGCTGCAATGTAGTAAGCTACATTTTTAAATTGTTTTGGAGAGCATTTTGTTCGAGCTTTTTTGGTGAAAGACTTCGATTGTCTGATGAAAACACTGGAAAATTGAAGAAAGCATGAGGAAACAATATCGAAAAAATTTCATCTTGGAAGAAAAGTGTGACTCATTCCTTAGCCTTGCCTCTTCAATTTTTGGGCATACAAGCCTGCAAATGTATGCAATTCCACTAAACCAATAAGCCTCTTTAATTTTGAATTTTAATTAAAGTAGTATGTCATTTTATGAAACATTATGTATTTCATTATTTTTTTCCTCTTCCAGAGATAACCTATGGTTCAATGAGGAAAAGGAAACAATAACTCAGTCGTATATCCCTGCGTTTTTAATATATTCTTTTGGAATACATGAAGTTCTAACTCGCAGAGAAGCTTACAGTGCAACAGCTTCTTTTATTGTCGGTGACATCTTGTAGAATAGATATGACTTTGGAGCACTTCTAAGAGCTGCACTGGCTTCCGTCTGTGTACTTCTGCAGTACAGTGAAATCAGGAACTGTATGGTACTGAATCGCTTTTTCATTCTATTCTTCATGATGTACATCAATGGATTCGTATACTACATCGGTTTCATGAGCTGTGGAACAGTATACTATTTTGTGTGGGATTATATAATAATGCAAAATAATAATAATGATTATGATATAATGGAACTAATTTTAGAAACGTTTTAATTAATGAAGATTTATATCTGTTTTTTGTTCTTTGTCTTTAGAACTATATTAGAATTGCTCATTCAATACTGTATAACTAAATGTAGGAATTTTTTCAAAGCCCTTTTTTAAAAAGGATTTTCAAACCTTTGCACAAAGCTATTATTGCTGCATGACATTTTTTAATTATGTAAGTACACTGTACATAAGTGTTCCTTAAATTCATTTTATTGACTCGTCGTAGTGTTTCTCAATCTCGTTTCTAAAAACGCACGTTTATATCAAAGTGCACAAAGAGGGTAGTTTTTATCATGGATTTTTATTTTACTCGAATTTACTTTTACAATTTTGTAACTGGATATGTTCGTTGCCCACCAGCTGAGATTGAATTGAATCTTCTGGATCCGTAGCTGAATGTTCTAACCATCATTGGTACACCCGCAACCAAAGTGGCTGAAGAAACTTTATTAGTTAAAGTCCCACAAATCTCCAGGTGAACGAGCATCTTTCTACGGACCCGGAGGTCTCTTGTTCAATCCCAATTGGTGGTCAGTGAACATGGTTTCTCTCGTTTCTTCAGTTAGATAGGATAGTTAATTAAGTTTATGACAATAGAGGGGGGAAATCGTATAAAAAGCACAAGAAAAATGACTTGCTTTAATAACATGCAATAAAAGCTACTACAAAATGTGACGAACTCTAAAGCTCCGAAATGCTTTTCGGTATACTTTGTTATTAGAACGCAGTGTTCTCAGTGGCTTCTTAAAAACTTAAATAATTTGGCTAATCCGCAGAAAAAAACGTTAGCCAAATAAGAATAATCGTAGCAAGGTAAATCCCCCCTTATTACAAAGTAAATCCCCCCTTGATCCTTATACAATTACCGGCTATGGAAACGACAAAAAGCAGATATACTCCAGAAATCTCGGAATGTCAATAAAGAGAAATGAATTAAACTCTAATGAAACTTAAATATGTGATTCAAGTTAATTCTTCCAGAAGTGGCTGGTCGATTCGAATTTCGCACCCAGCTGGCACTGAACCCAGTGCTGATATTAAATATATCATCAGTGGTAGACGGATCTTGGGTTAGAGTCCCCTTGCCGACAGGCTAACCGTGAGATGTTTTCGCGGTTCTTCATGTGACGTAAATGCTAGTTAGTTCCATGGCAAATTTCTCCCAATACTTGATCCAGGTATTCGCTTGTTTTCTGGATTGGGTTCAAAATTACAAAGCTACGGAGTTAAACATTAGCAGTCGTAAACCCAAACTTTTGTCGGCTGTTCAAAGACGGTTATGCAGATTTTTAAAAAAATATTTTCAGCTCTCGCAATTAAGCGATAAATGCTCGTTTCGTTGCCAAATGAGGCATTTTGTCGCGATGTTACGCAATGGCGAGTAACAGTGAGAACTCTGATCAAAAGGTAATATTTTATTTTCGGCAAATTCTAGTCGGGGGCTTCTATTTTAGGAATAATTCATTTTGAAGAAACGGGAACTGCACGCTTGTAAAATTGTAGCTTTGCTACCCGGTCTAAACAATGTAACATTTGAAGAAGAAGAAATAAAAAATTAGCCCTATCTGTTTTTTTTGTTCTGTTTTTTTATTTTTTTGTTTTTTTTTAAACTGAGAAGAACCTTAAACTGTAATGTCAGAATCACAACAGGTTACATGTAATAGAATATCTTACAACATCAGGTAAGGGATTCTATATTGCTCATTAACATAAGTATGCAAAATAAAAATTATTATTTCTATTGAGGAAAGCTACATTCTTTTTTTTTTTTGTAAGCTCTAGTCAAGTTGAAGAGTCTAGTCAAATAGCTCATTTACTTTTTTAACGGCCGGCACTGAACTTTCTCGTTCCTTGCCTATTCGAAACAGTTGCGTCCCGCAGTGGACTGATCGTTAAGACACAGTTCCCAGCAGATCACCGAAGTCAAGCATCACTGGCTGCGATCAGCGTGCGGGTGGGTGACCCACTTGGATCAGTCTGCGTACGGACCGAGGGTGTGCGGTATTGGTCCTCGTTAAGCTGTTTTATCGTAAAGTGCTCGACTTCGCGTGCAAGTCGTCCAACTGCTGAAGCGGGTGTGCCATCCTCTCTGGGGAGGATCAAAATTGTGATGGCATGTCTTCGGATCATCGTCAGGGATGTTTCCAAAACAGTCGCTAATAGCCCATTGTGCAGCTCTATGCGACGTAAATGGACGAATCAAATCAAATAAAATAGAAACTGTTGCTCATTTAGCTTTACCGGGTGGACACCTGTGAACCTAAGCCACGGAGGTGAGCAACGTTATCCACGTCACACTGCCAAGGATACCCGCTTATAGAGTAAAACACATTCACACATCACACAGCAGAAGACAAATACATAGAAAAACATCAGTGTCCTGAGCGGGATTCAAACCCACAACCAGACACCCTGACCAGCACAAATTACAGAAGGATATCAACTGCTACATCAGTGGTTACAACGGGATACAAACCCTTTACCTACACGCTACAGACGGTCTGGTGAATCAGCGAGTAAGCATAGCAAGGGTAGCCCCTGTATGCGTGCAACAATAAATAAAAGGAAGCCTCCAGGGTAGAGTGGATTCACTGTTTTGAAAAACGCTCTATAACGAGAAGGTAGCTGGTTCGTATCACCGGGATGCATCTTTGTGACTTGGCAAAGGCTTAAGAGCAATATTTAGCACAAAGTCTGCATATGTATTTTTAACAATAAATAAATAAATATGAACACGCTGCCTTTCTGGCTACCAAGCGCTGCGTGAAGCGTGGAGGTAGCGGGTTCGAATCCCCCTGTTACTTTGAATGTATTCTTGTGCTGCCCTTTTCTGCATTGTGCTATTTGTCTATCTACTTGACAAAAGTTTTTAAAACTTAATTGAGCACCCAAACCAGCAAATGTATATTTTGACAATAAATAAATAAAAAAATGAAATAATACTATAAATAATATAATAATCTAAATAATTTAAATGCATAAAGGTTACTGTAGCTTCCCTGATTCCTTGGGGGCCAACCTGGCCGAGCGGTATCGCCCTCGAAACGCTGTGCAAAGCATTGAGGTTGCGGGTTCGAATCCCGCTGTTACCCTGGATGTATCTTCTTGCTGTCCTTCTATATATTGTGCTATCTGACCTTCTATTTGACAAAGGTTTATAAGCCTAAATTGAGAGCAAAAACCTGCAAATGTATGTAATCTCAATAAACCAATAAGATTCCTTGATGCAGAACTTATTTATTAAAACACGTTAACATTTTTCACCACATTATTCATTTCTAAGTTACAAATATCTATCATAGTTAATAGCTTGTTTTTATTTTTTTACTTGTTGCTCATCATGGACTTTGAATCAAGGTATTTATTAATTTTTTGTATTTCAAAGCTTGCATTAAGCATCTACTTAAAAAAAATAATTCTACAAAAAAAAAAACAGATATTTATAATGCTACTTAAAAAAAATTTATGCATTTCATATGCTGTTAAAAGTATTGTATCTAGGCAAAGCAAATTATTTTAATTTTAGTAATATTATAAAAACAAAATTTCTTATTTTCGATAGAAGCATAGCATTGTTTAAACTAAGAAAAAAATTAGTTAAACTTGATAGCTAGTTTGCAAAGGAGTACTAATTTATGTTTTTGAGGAAATATATAAATCTCACAGAAATGATATCAGTTTTTTTAAATAAACGATAGATTAATAGTGTAAATAACATCATTTTATTCTATAAGCTAGTGTATTTGATGCTTTAACTTAATGTCTACTGAATAAAATTTTTACCTTATACAGAGTATCTACCTTGCAGTTTAAGTTTTACTCGTAAAGTCAATTGAAAAAAACTTAAACTTCTTACCTAGTTGAAAAGGTTTTGAATATATTTTTTACACTAGATTACCAGAACAAGGATTTTACGAGAAAGATATAAACTCTTTTGAAAGACTCTAGTGATAAGAAATGTTTTACTATTTAATTTAGTTAAGCTACTGATTTCAGAAAAGTCTTATCTCTGAATGTGAACGTAATGGCTAGTAGTGACTGAAAAAGTGCCATTATTTAAACCACTTAAACCACAGAGTCCAATTAATACATTGAACAACTTTTGGTTCAATTTTATCAGTTGGAGAATAATATTTTGAGATTTTTTTTATTTTTTATTTTTTTTTTGTTTAGTGCATTCTGTTTCAAAGCAATTGTCTGTATAAAAATATAACTAGTTTTGCCCTCATTATTATTCGGACTTTCGAAATTCCCTGGAAAATTATAAGAAATGTTAGAAATTGTATTTAAGTCACCTTTTTGGTGAGAAATATTGAGTTTAGTATAATTTGTCTCATGACCAAATGTAAAAAATATCCTACAAATTTTTTTAAAAAAATGAAACAATTTTCTTTTCTAATATAAAATGCAAGAAGCAAATAAAATATGGAGGAAAAGAAGTAAAGTTTAATTAGCTGAATTTTTAATATATTTTGAAATATTCAGGAGTTCACTTTTTTCTAAGTTACATATTTCACGTATTTTCCCTTATATAAAGCTCAGATCTAAGGAGGCTTGTTAAAATTGTAACTCGAGAATTAGTTTGCCACATTTTCATTGAGAGTGTGGCAATATGAAAAAAAATGCAACTTCAAAATGCATATTATTAATTGCGGATCAATGTATTTTCGATATGGACATTCGGCATTTAAATTAATAAATCAAAAACGAAATCAAAGTTATCAACAACTGTTATTTTCTACATTTGAAGTGAATGTTCCACATCGAATTCAATTATTGAAATCTTACACAAAAGCATGAGGAAATACTAACTTGATTTTTTTTCTTTTGAATATTCTGAAGGAAAAAAATTAGAAAATCTTTTACATGTGATGAATTTTGTTGTAAAAAGAAGTAACTTTGGAAAGAATGAAATTTAAAATTGTAGCAAAGTACAAAGAGAAAACTCATTCATTTTCATCAAAATAATCGCTATACTCCTACTACTGAATTTCCTTACTTAATTTTTTCCAAGGTAATATTATTACCTATATTTCTTATGACCATGTGGCTTTCGTGAATTTCCGAATTTATTCCTGTGGCTCTCAGAATCATAAGTTAGTATACCTCTACTTTAAACAATTAAGATTGGCACTGAGTGAGTGAAAATCTAATCATTGGAACAAAGGTTAATGTTCTGTTCTAGAACCCCATTGATCTACTTGTCAATCATCGTTCTAAAGGTTTTGCCTTCTTTAAATAAACGCTGATTCCTCTAAACCGATGTGCAACGATGATTAATTTTTTTCAAACTCCCATTTCTATCCAAATTTGTTTTCACAAATGAATCTAAATTTCCGAAATTTTCTACTGAAAAAACTTTTTTTAATGGAATAGAACAAACTATAGAAATCTTCAAAAACGTTTGAGTTACGGATAAAGCTTCACTTGTATTAAATCTTTCTCTAATTCTAGTATCTTTTTGAGAGTAGTCACTAGAGTAGACGAACCTGCGGTATAAAGAAGGCAACAATCAACTCAATTGTGAGCTCAATTATACTCAATTTGTTTACGTAACCGTAAACGTAGGAGCAAGCTGCTTTGTCTTATTGAAAGAGCAATTAATGTATTTCTGACTCTTGGGCAAGCTAAGCACTCCAGCATTTGCAAATTAAGTCAGAAAATTGCACCTTTCGTTTGACAAGAGAGCACCGCAAGGGTTAGAAGTAAATTTTAGCTCAAAACCTCTCTAATAGATGGCAGCGCCACTCATTCGTGAGGCAACTTCCATGAATTTCACGTAGATTTGAAGGGGAAGGATATATTCTCCAGATCCCTGTACATATGGTACTGCTCAACGATCGACCACAGGACATTCGATTTCAGATTTTACGAGCATGTACTCTGTGTTTCTTTGCGGAGTCGAGGATCAAGCCTCAGTCCCTCTGAACCGGAGTTTGATTCTCTAACCACGTGACCACGACTCCGAAATGTTTCTTCTTGGCCTAATGAATCCTTTCTACCCAACTTCAATCCTTCCTCCAATAATGTTCTGCAATTTTTATTCATCAATGGCCTCCGCTTTTTTCTTCTCCAGTTGATGTTTTTAATGACACTCGCATACCTAAAACACTTGACATAACTTTTCCGACCAACTGTGGTGCTTTTGACTGTTACGTTGGCGATTTTCATCCAATTTACTCTCCATTCAGTTGACTGCATTCTCGACTGTTGTCGACCGATATCTCGTCCATTACGATATTCTTACCATTGAGTCTATTCGACACACAGCTTTTGGAATCCGCTCCAAATTTCAACTTTTTAGAAGTTTATAGTTGAACGGTTAAACTGTCGTTCGTTTAGTGCTCGATTTTTTAATAGATTCAACTCATAATTTTCACGTGAAGACATTATTCTTTATTTAATGTTTTATCAATATTTTAAATATCTATTTCAGAAAATTTAACTGCAATAAAAAAATAAAATCTTAAATAATAATTAAATACAATTTACGATTCGTACTAACGTATGGAACATTCCTACTGAATATGGTTTAATCATACTGCTTTAATTGCACCAATCGAATTCTCCATTTCGAAATCTATATTTCATATAAAATTTTTATTTTGATAAAAAAACGGCTAAAAATACTATACGTGCAGAGTTGTAAAATATTTTGTATTGAAGTAATAAGTTAGTTTTCAAAACATTTGAATTCTACACAAAATCGTTTATTTATAACAAAAAGAGAAAGAAAGAATATCTCCACTCTTCTCTTAAATGAAAAACTAAAATTAAATTGGATTTTTGGTGGTGCTGCATTATTATGTACTACATCATAATGTAACATAATTACAGCATCATAATGAATATCTAATGTGCTACATCCTAACATACAGTGCGCAAAAGGAAAATAAACGTACCACCCTAAATAACTTTTGATCTAATAATCAGATCTTCACATACTAGGGATTTATGGCTAGAGGGGATGACTATAAATATAGTTAATTATTATAAACTTAAGCTACGAAATTGGACACGAAAACTTGTTTTCTCTGAATAATCATGATTAATCATATCTTTAGAGGAATTCTGATTTCTGACCCCAAAAATATCTGGTTGAAGCCCCATTCTCGGAAATATGATCCCAATACTTTGGTGAGGAGAGCGGCTTAAAGATTGGACACTTTAACGTTTTTGCATATTACACCATATTGTGCGAATTTAAAAATATTGGCACACAATTATAAAATACGTTCGTCCTAAGGTATTTCCATGCAAAATATAACTTTTGGAAAGTATTTTTCATTTAATTTTTAAAAACAAATGATCAAAAAACTTTTGCATTGTAAGGTATACAATTTTTTACATTTTAAAGAATGTAATTTTGAATAACAATATGCAAAATTTGAGCGACTCAGTAACTTGGAATAGTTACTGAGAAATCTAATTTTGAAAATGTCCTATTTTCTCAAGTCACAAATTTTGCATTTCGCCATTTAAAATTGCGTTCTTTAAAATTATATACCTTACAATTCAAAACTTTTTCCGAAATTATTAAGTAAAATACAAATTAAATAGTAACTAGAAATTATATTTCGCATGGAGTCATCTTTGGATAAGCTACTATTATAATTGTGTGCAAAAAATTTTCGAGTCTCCTAAAAAGTTCTCACACTATGTGGTGCAATAAACAAAATTAAAAGTTTCAAACTTTGGACCGCTCTCCTGGCTAAAATATTGAGACTATATATATCCCACATTGAGGATACATGCTATATTTTTGGGGTCTAAAATCCGAAAAATATGTTTATTCAAAGAAGGCACGCTTTTGTGTCAAATTTCGTAAATTAAACTACCGTCTGAAATAAATAACTAGAATATTTGAGGTCACCACCTCAAACCATTAAGATTGAGTCGTGGAAAGTAAAAATCCGATCATTAAATAAAGTTATTCAGGGTGGTCCGTTTTATATTTTGAGCACTGCATGCAATAATGGTATTACATGAAAATATGCATCATGGTGGTGCTACATTATTTAAATCATCACGATTACTGAAATCTTCAATGTCTTATAGTTTCAGCAATAACATTTGGTGGAGCCATAACTCTGGACTAGTGGAGCATCTGTTTGTGCTCATATTATACGCAATTTTCACATTTTGGATGCGCCACGTGATTCAACGAACTGACTCTTACAGAGCGGCAGCCATTTTCATAATCGTAGACCGCTTGTACAATGGAGGCCAGACCTTCTCATTTTCTGCAATAATACTGTTTTATCTCTGCCTGTATCTCCTGTACGCAAAAATAAACACCAGGAGAACTATCAACAGAACGTACAGGATCAAGTTCTTCTGTCATCAAATACACAGGTTGCTTGTTCGACTGAGAGGAGTTCTAATTCTAGCCTCCATGATGTACGTCAGAGGATTCCTGCAGTTTGTTTATTTCATGACTGGTATTGTTATACTCAAAGCGTATTCAGCATATGTATTTTTATCTATTTCTATAACTGTATCTAATTAGTATTCAATTCATTTCATATTAGCACCAATGCGTCTTTTAATGCTTAAGTTACAAATAAAATGTTCACGTTTTTATAGACTTTCAGATACATGTTTCTGAAAATATATTTTTAAACAATAAGTACATGACAAAAACAGTCTCAATAAACAAGTATATTCCAACCAATGCATTAAATTTTATTTATTCTGATTAATTCATATTTTAGTAATTTCTAATTTGAAAAATCAAGGGAAAAATAGAAGAGACAGTGTATGATTTGCTGCTTTCTGTTTAGAAATTCATATTTTATTATCTCGAAGTTTCGAATTCATTTTCAAAGTTTCTAAACTGATAGCATGGCTAAGTAAAAACAAAAACAAATTTATTAAAAACATGATTTACAGTAAAAACAAGAGAAAATTTGAAGATACATTGAGATGCCCATGTAAATATTTTCTACTTACAAAATGGTCTGATATGCAGCAGATACCATTGATTTATAGTTTCCAATTGAACCGCGGAACTTTTAGACGAATAACAAATGCAACTAATTTAGAAACCTGGAATAAATTTTTAGTTTTCTTATCAAAATGCAGAAAATAACATATTCACATCCTTCCTTCCTTAATGACCAAAAGATTGAACATTTTAACCTCCTTCAATCTTTAATTTTAAAACTGACCAAAATGTAAATCATTTTTGAAATGCCAGTAAAGTACGATATCAAATTTAGTATAATTTGCTTTATTAATTTGCTTTTTTTAGTATATTTTTCTTATTCTAAATAAGTGAACGAGTAGGTGACCACTTTGACCAGCATGCGAAGAGACAAAGGAGTGCAATATCGGTCCTCTCTCAACTGTTCTACCTTAAAGTGCTCGAATTTGCGCTCAGGTCGTCGGGTTACCAAAGCAAAAGAGCCAAAATTATGATGGCAAGTCCTCGGATCGTCCTAAAGGATGTTTCCCAGATTATTACCAATAGCCCATTTTGCAGGTCGAAAGCGGTTTGAATAAAGGCCTACTACTACTATTCTAAATAAAGCAGGGTACATAAACCCGTATCTGACTACTTCAAAAATTAAACCTACAAGTCTAAGCTGTTTTAATTGAGAAAGTGAAAGCATCGTTAATTAATTTTTTAAAATTCTTTTCAAAACTTTTAAAATAAAATTTAAAAAAACTTGACTATTCCGGCAGTTCTCACTGCATGCGAAAAAATTAGCTTTAATGTGCTTGGTGTTGTATTTTATGCTATTTAATGCGCTTATATACCTTCAAACGTTTTACTTCATCATTAACTAACTTAACATAAACTTCACTCTGCAAAACAATCTGATAGATCTAATGTCACGTCTCCGGAATTTTAGGGCCTATATATGCAATGTATGACTTATAAGCCCTTTCAATGTGAAGAACATACAGCACAAGTTAAAAAAGAGCATCTTAAAGATAGATCTAGGATTATGGAGGAGTCGGAACCCAGAACCTTCTCGCTACCCAACGTTTACTGGAACGGTGTGATTGCTCGGGCTGGGAGGCCGAGTGTTTAGTTTTGTACTAGAAAAAAAATTGACTTTGAAACCAAATCCCCCCAAAACAAGATTCCGCAAGATTCCGTGATTGATACCAAGATCCTGTCACTATGTTGAGAAAGTTCTTCCTTACAAGCGAAGCAGTTGTTGTTGTTCATTTACGTCACACTAGAGATGCCCAAAGGGCTGTTTGCGGCGGTAGGAAAACATCCCTGAGGATGATCCGAAGACATGGCACCCCCGCTTCGTTAGCCCGACGACCTGCGCTCGAAGTCTAGAACTTTACGGTAGAACAATTTAACGAGGACCAATACAACACACCCTCGGTCCCTGCACAGATTGATCCAAGTGGTCACCCACCCGCACACTGACAGCAGCCAGTGATGCTTGACTTCGGTGATCTGCTGGGAACCGTGTCTTAACGATCTGTCCAATGCGGGACTACAAGCGAAGCAGAATTAATTAATTTATTTATTAGTAATCATAAATGCAGGTTTGTGTGCTCTTTTACATGCGTACGAAATATAAGCCTTTGTTAAGCAGAAAGACATCACGAATAATATACATTCAGAGTAACGGCGGGATTCGCCCCTCCACGGTACAGAATGTTTGGTGGTTGATTTATTGAGATTATGTGGCTGATTTATTGAGAATTCATTTGCTGACTTGTGTGCTCAATATAGGCTTATAAGTCATTGTCAAGTAGAAAATACAGATAGAACAATTCAGAGAAAGACATCACAAAGAATACATCCAGGGTTACGGCGGGATTCGAACCCGCTACCTCCACGCTTAACAGAGCGTTTGAACCGGCGATACCGCTCGGCCAGGGAGGCCCCGAATGTTTGGTGGGTGATAACTTCCGGCCAGGTAAGTCTCCACGAAATTTTTCACACAGCAAATAACTACTTGGATATCAATAGCAAAAGAGTCCTTTAAACACAGAAGTTAATCTTCCTTGGTAATTCAGTCCTTGGTCCTACTTCAATTAAATTGATATTTATTAATATCCTCGGAAAACGAAATTGTGTTGTTGACACCGATTTTTCTTCACTTATTTACTAACATACAAATACAGGCTCTTCCCACAAGTATTTTTCATTACATAAATTATCGTACAATCTAGTTATATTCAGCCATAGAAATACATTTATAATATTCCATCAGCAGTTCGATCTCGTGACAATAAAACGTGGTGCTTCCTGGCCAACCAGGTTTTGTTGTGCCACTTAACTCTCTTTAGCGTGCAGGCACTGGGTTCGAACCACGCTATGCCGCTATGTCACATGCTTCGTAGCGATGACCAACAACAGCTTGTACTTTTTATTCTTCAACTTGATAATAGCTGTGCATATTTGTATGCTCTGCAACGAGCTTACAAACATGCAGATATATGTGTAGCATAAACAAATGAACAATAGTATGTGCAAAGCCCTCTTCAACACATCTTCGTCTCAAATCTTATCACTAAGCTCATTGATTCTAACGTCCCACAGTAGACAGACTGATCGTAAGAAAGCATTCACACTTCAAGCGATTGCCCTAGACACGCATGCGAATGTTTCGAAACTATATGCAAAACGAATTGTCTGCGCGGGCGTAAATCGCATTGTACAATCTCAGGCAAGTACAATCTCATATGCGAATCATATACAGTGTGAATGCTCCAAAAGACACTGTTGCCAGTAGATCACCGAAGTAAAGCATAACTGGAGTGGATAGTGTGTGGATGGTGACTATTTTGATCTACCTTCGAAGGGACAAAGGGTGTCGGTCTATGTTTAATAGTTCTACGGTAAAGTGTTTGACTTCGCGCGCAAGTGATCGAGCTAGAAAAGCGGAGGAGACACCCCTTCTGCAGAAGATCCAAACAGGGATGGCATGGATCCTCAGGAATGTTTCCCCGAACGTTGCCCACTGCACAGCTCTAGAGCAGCATAAATTAGTTACCACAAGTACTTATTGATCCTAATTCGATTAATTACTTTTATGATAATCATGCATAAGCAATTAGGTTCTTTGATGCTGAGTCACGAACTTACGAATTTGTCCGGGAATGCGAATTTGTGGTGTCTCGCCCCCCTCGGAAATGGTCTTACTTCTGTTGAGTGCTCGTAAATTATTGGTGATCGAAATGGGTTGCAGGAGGTGCGTAGCAGAACTCTACCTAGGGCAACACTAGGAATGCTTTCACTATTCGCATGTGGATAGTCATAGGAGTTGGAAGTACTTTAATTTCTGTCCTGCAGTGGACTGATCGTTAAGACACGGTTCCCAGCAGATCACCGAAGTCAAGCATCACTGTCTGCGGTCAGTGTGCGGATCTGTGACCACTTGGACCAGTCTGCGTAGAGACCGAGGGTGTGCAGTATTGGTCCTCGTTAAACTGTTTTACCGAAAACTCGACTTCGCGTGCAGGTCATCGGACTACCGAAGCGGGGAGGCCATGCCCTCTGCAGAGGATCAAAATTATGACGGCATGTCTTTGGATCCTCCTTAGAGATGTTTCCCAGACCGTCGCCAATAGCCCATTGTGAAGCTCTAATTCCGACGTAAATGAACTACAGAACATTAATTTCTATCTTGGAAAAGCTCAAAATTGCCTTAAACACAGTGCTTAAAGAAAGCATCGTGCAACTTTTAGATAGATATTTGGCAATATGAATGGGGAAAATATTATGGCAGAAGGAAACATTGTAATGCAAGGGGCCTCCCTGTCCGAGCGGTATCGTCCGCCAAACGCTCTGTTAAACGTGGAGGTGGCGGGTTCGAATCCTGCCTTACCCCTGGATGTATTCTTTGTGATGTCCTTCTTTGTATTGTGCTATCTGTTCTTCTACTTGACAAAGGCTTATAAACCTTAATTGAGCACACGAGCCTGCAAATGTATGTTGTACCAATAAAACAATAAATCGCAATGCAACATTCCCATGCTCTAGATATGGAACCGATCTTCTCCCCAAATGGCGTATTTGAGTGTTCCGATCCCGAATTCATTCATAAGCACTGATCTTTAGTGGCCACAAACCTGCGACTTCTTTACTGGAAACCACAGTTGTTATTAGATCCTCTATGAAGTTGGTTTTACCTGAATAATAGGCTAGTAAGCGTATAATTGAACAGAACCAACGAGTTGTAATCTCGAAAGTGAAGTTCTTTAGTGACTTCAGGGCGTGAACCTGCTACTTTCTTTGTCGTAGACCAAGACCATTAACCTCTCGTCTCTTCCGGCATGCGGTTATTTTGAAATGGTCAAAACTTGGCAACTAAGACCTGAACTTTCGAAATATTTTCAACTTTTCTTATTTTTAAAACTTTTTTATACGCTTTGAAATGCGTTTAATGTACTAATCTTTAACTTTAGAAAAAAAGTTCGAAGTATTTTATCTTCACTTTTTAATTTTTAGCTCCTTGTTTAGAATGGATTGTTTATTAAGGTAGGCAATTAATTTCAGTAATATTTATAAATATTCAAGACGGTGGTCCCTTAATATTTCATATTTTGAGCAGCAAACGTAAATAATTGTGTTACTCTGAATCAAATAAATAAGTGTATATTTGCATTTTTGCTCATTTCTATTTCTCTTTCTGAAATATACTACTGTATAATGAGCCAGAATATCGTGCAAGATTGCTAGACCCACAGTAAACTGTCGATTGTAGTAATATTGGCGATTAAATGAAACTTCATTACCTTGAAATTTAATAAATTGATAAAAGTGTTTGTCCTGAATGTAAACAAATTTCAATGTTGCTCCTTGTTAAATCGTAAATTTGTACAATATTATGATTCATAATGTTGAGATTACAATTCAAAAAGTAAGCTTATTTCTAATATTTGCTTTAATAAGGAAATTATTAAACTAGGTTTCTAAAGTAGCAAACAAATATTTGCGTCCAAGTATAATCCAATTAAGGATTCAATTATACAAAAGGTTATGTAAGAGCAGCTCTTATAGATATTTTTAAAGTCAGGAAGGAGTATTGAAAGCATGTGAAAACTGGTTTGATTGTCTTAGGAAACTTTGAGATGTTTCTAATAATTGCTTTTAAACCCTTTTGTTTCTTCCAACAATTAAATCGGTTTCAATTCCGTATTTCCACTTTCCTTGGTAGTGATTTGTTAGATTTTTATAGCCTTTTTCTTACTTAAATTATATTTTTTTTGTTCATTTTTTGGCATGGATTCTAAAAATCTGTCTGATGAGAGGTAATTAAAGAACAGCTTTTATTTTCAATAATCTATAAGCAAAAAATATATAAATGTTTTATCTAAGCCGTTGACTGCGCAATTAGATTCATTCTTTCCTCAAAAAAAAACTTTAGTGACGAAGCATTTGGTTCAGTTACTAATTATCAGTTTTATTAAATCTCATATAAATAGCATTTATAATCTCAGAAATCATATAAAAAATTTTATATTAAGTATTATACTAAATTTCAAAATTGCAAAAAGCGACACCTTTAAGCAAAAAAAAAATTTTTTACAAAATTTATATTATGCTGGGAATTTAAAAGATTATATTCATTATTCCATAGCTTTTCCCATTTTTTTATGGAATTAATCAATATCTGCTCTGAACGGCTTAAAAGATCTGAGCCCGGATAGCTCAGGGGATAGAGCTTTCACCACCCAATGAGGTGACCAGGTTCAAATCCCGGCAATGGCAGGTCGATACGAATCCTCATTCGGCTTGCACCGACCACAGTGCTAACGTGAAATCTCCTCAGTGGTAGACGGATCATGGGTTAGAATCCCCTTGCCATCAGGCTAACCGGGAGAGGTTTTCGTGGTTTTCCTCTCCATGTAACGGAAATACGGGTTAGTTCCATCAAAAAGTCCTCCACGAGGGCAAATTTCACCCCATCCTTAATCCAAGAGTTTCCTTGTCTTCTGGATTGGGTTCAATATTACAACGCTGATTAAGATGAACATTAGAAATCGTAAACACGAAAATTGGGTCTGCTGTTCAACAGCAGTTATAAAATTACAAAATAATTAAAAATTTGCTCTAATTGCAAAGATTTTGACAAATTTTACCGTATGGTTTTCCGCTCTAGTAGAAGATTTTGAAATTGACTGAAATCTAATATAAATCAAGATATGATGGATTTGGACTACAACATTTTACATAATTTAAAATTACATCATGACATCAGTTTTTAAAACTGACCTAATCAGTTTTTAAAATTCAGCTGACCTAGCTATTTTTCCAATTTTTTAATCTAAAATGCAAGTTTGGTTAAGTTACAGAATGTCTTTTGTTTGTTTTACATTTACAAATTTTTTCTTTCTCTTTCGGACATTTAATTTTTCGAAAATTTTAGCTTGTGTATTTTTTAAAGTATTTTTTGTGTCGACATTTTAATTGGTAATTTTATTAGTCACAATCGAGAGTTAGTTCTAACATTTTCATTTATATTTTGAACTCATTTTGAGTGTCTGCGGATACTATTTCTTGTCACTTTGTGTTTGTTCATCTTCTTATTATCCTAATTATGGAATTCATTCTCTGCAATAAGAAACTTGGTTTGTTTATGAAAATGTCTGAATTTTAGTCGTGTTTATCTTCATTAAAAATTTAAAGTTTGAAAACTAGTATTTAATTTATTTTCCAAGTTATTTGTATTAGTTTTAACATTTTCTGACATTTCTAGTTCGTTCACCAGAAGTTTGCACTTGGCTCCACCTCCTCAGACGAAGAATTCATTTCAGCGCGGGAGTAAGAGGAGAAACATCTCCGCTCTTGAAATTGAAACACCCTTAATGAGCACCAAACGCAAACAGTGAATTCTTTTTCAGTCGCTTACTTTGCTTTATCATCTGCTATTATACCTTTCGTTACTCCAGCTAATTAAATCTATTTTGAATTTAAAAACTGCTGTTTTCCCAGCAAAAGGTCTCAAAAAGGACAAACTATTTACTTAAAAGAGAGAAATATTATCAAACTTATGAAATATTTAATGTTAAGAAAATGCACATAAAGATAGTGAAATAAATATTTTTCTCATACGATCGCCAAATAGTAACCATGACAAGGATTGTTCTCATCCTTCTCCCAAAAATAGAGAAATAGTATCGTCAGATACCACGTGATGAAGGCGGAGCCAAGTGCCAACTCCTGGTGAACGAACTATGTTCCATATTTATATATTCCATATTATAACGAACATCCATATTTAATTTATAATTATTTCCATGCCGTAGGGGCATTCAAGCATTAAAAATAAATTTCAATAATTTAATTTAGAAGAAAAAAAGCATTAAAATATTTCAATAACTTATTTATCTTAACCCTAAGCAAAATATTAAAACAAAAATTTTAATTTTACTCATACAATCAATAAATTATATATATACTAAAACACATAAGACAATGAAAAAGATAATTCTCCTAAGCATTTTTTATGACAATCAAAAAAATCAATTTATTGAAAAGAAATTTCTCAAGAAAAAATAATTTTCAATAATAGCAAATAAGTTTTCGAATTGTAAAAATAAACATATCTGTAAAACAATGAAAATAAGATCAATATATAAAAAAATATTATCAAATGAAATATTGATTGCATATAGGTTGATCTCGAACATTGTCGAAGACCTAGTTTTTTTCTTTGACGATTCTTTTTCAATGCAAAACAAAAACTCTATTGTTAACATAGTATCGTTGTGGACTTTTGTTAATTTTTTTTAAAAAATAACTTCCATTTTATCAATTTGCCTTCTTTCTCTTAAAAAAATCACTAAATTAAAAAAGAAAAGTTAAATAATTCATGCCTGGCACCTGATTTTTACGCTGCCGGCTAATCAGAACTTCACAGAGAGTTGGAAAAAAAAGCAGGTTTCAGGCACCAGGCTATACGTAATTATTATTTATAAAAACATATTCACAAAGAGCAAGAATTAAAGTGACGCAAAATCGTTTTGCTCCTCAATAAAAGTTAGAAAAAATTTTGCAAAATAAATTCGTAAAAATATTTCATTTTGAATAAAGGAAATCTTAATAATTATCATTGGTTTATTAAATACGTGGATTGAAAAATAATTCCTTCTCACGGTTCATAATGGGAAAAATATAAAATGTTGATTCATGAATAACTTGAAGCCAAAAATCAATTACAAGACAGGTTGTGAATATTAAAGTGTGAGAAAGAGCGTTTAGTTTAGAACAATAAATTAAGAAAGAGATTTAAATAAAAGAATAACATAAAAAGATTAGTTGAAGCTTATTATGTTACATGTCTATATATATAATAGTGCACTTATCTTTTCTTTCAGTGAAAACATATGGTTGAACTTAGACTCTAGAATAAACAAATACATATTTGCACCATACTTTTATTCAGTTTTCACGTTTGCTTTGCACCACATCATAACTCTTCAAGAAGCAACCCTTGCAACAGCCTCTTTCGTAGTCTACGACATCCTGTAGAATAGAGATCCATCCTGCACATCACTTACAGTAATGCTGGCATCCTTCTGTATGTTTCTCCAGTACAATTCTAAAGGTCAGGATGACATCTTGAGACATTTTCTTGTTCTATTCTTCATGATGTACGTAAAGGGATTCATGGAATGCGTCCTCTGTATTAGCATTATTGCATCGTACATTGCAGCGACGCGAGATTTCATGCATCTTTGTTGGCATTGTGTTCATGAACTATTCGAGTTTGCTGTTCGGCGCCTTTTATTGTGTCACCTAAAAGTGTATAATGACTTGAGATTTGTTTTAAATTTTTAGACTATTCTTTTTAAAAAGATATATTTATTCGTACCGTGCATTTAAATTGCTTGAAACAAATAGTTAATTTTGTACTATTAAAGAGATTTATATGTTTGCTATATGTTTTAAAATTTTTTTCAGTGTTCCCTACTTTATTGCTACCAATTTTGATAAAATTTGTATGTAACAATGAGACTTTAGTCGGCCAAACTTATGTTCTGCTTAATGTAACTGAGAAGATTCTTTTAGCTTTGTGAAAGCTGTTTAGAAGTAGCTACTTTACGGCCATCACGAGAAACACCTCGCAAGGATTTAAGTTCCTAAGTTGTTAGTTTTTTAAATACCTTAAAAAAACATTCCTAAAATAATAATAAAAAGTATTTTTACTTCTACCATTGGAATTTATTTTTAATTTTAATACAATTTGAATAAAACTAGACATAAACTCGAAGCTGGAGTTTTTAAATCGAGCTGTGTCCAGATTTAAAAACTCACCAAAGGGCTGTAAACTATTTTAAAAAGTAAAGTATTCTGATATTAATATTTAATGTAAACTCGAGTCAAAAGAAATAATTTCCAAACGAAATACTACGAAATTTGGCCCCCCTGGATTTAAAAATTAGCAAGAAAAAGTGCATTTTTAAACCAAGGTAATTCAAAGTATAAAAAGTACATTTTTAAAGAATGATCTTTTTTTTTTTTTCATTTTATTCAAGCTTTGTGTTTTGAAGCAAAAGAGAGTAAATAAGTATGTCAAAAATAAGTGGTTCGTGTTCTTTGGAATTATTTTGAAATTAAATCTTTAATGGGAAATATAATAATTACAATTACAGTATTATTAAATAGTATTTTTATAAATTAAAAACTTTACAAATTAAGAGATTTTTAAATTAAAAACTAGTGAAATTTTAATATGTTTAGAAAAAAATAATTAAAGCATCGAATAAAACTAGTTCAAATTTAGTTAACTCTATGAATCCTAGAAAATATTGCATACTTTACACACAAGATGGCAGCACTATTGTTTGTTTTTTTGAAGGAAAATAAAACTATATCTTCCTCCATCAGTGGCGCTATCTATTGAGACTCCTAATTATTTTACTTGATTTACATTTAATGTTTGCTTATTGAATAATTCTGTAAAATATGCTTCAGAAACCAACTCTTATAAATTGAAAATTTTAGCCATTTTATTGCTTTAAAATTTGTCTCTAAAATTATAGACTCACATTTTTAGGAAGATTTATGAAGAATGTAAAAGTAAGAATTTTTTGATTATTAGCGTAAAAAAAATTTTTTTTCATGGAAAATTTTGCATTAATTAAATTATAACGCATATTTTCAATTTATAATAAGAAAATAACCAGCTTAATATTTTATCCTTAATATATTATGTAAAACATATAAGTATTACAAAGCAGGGTACTTCAGTTAATTACATTTGAAAAACCTCCCGCACATTAATAAGCATATTGTAATTAGTAATAACAAAACTGTTTTAAAAAATTCTTTAATTTAAATGTAGTTATATTTTCCACAAAAACTTGATTTTTTTTTTATTATAAAAATCAGCATATTTTTACCTACACAATAATTAAACTTTAATGGAAATAAGATGTTAATATTTTACTGGATTATTAAAAGTTTTTTTAAAAAATTACTGTAAGTTAATAACTAAATTCAATTTTCTCCAGTTGAGTTCGTCTTATGTTCGCACTGATTTTATTTTGCATCGAAAAGATTTCACCTTGTTTCTTTCAATTGAGCTCAATTGTCGAAGGGTTGGATACGTGAAGAAAAAAAATTTAAATATAATTTGTCCCTTTTATTAAATTTTCTCAAATTAACTGATGGTGAATATTTGGTAGACGGATAAAAAGGTCCCGGTAAAAAAGGAACGGAAAAAAGGGTCCCTGGGAAAAAATGTCCCGGAAAAAAAGGTCCCAGTAAAATAGGTACCACCATAGGGAAAATATGTAGGGGTATTTCCCCTTTCGCTTTCTGGGCAGCATGAATGCTTCTCGCTGTTTCAATGAATATTCTTCTTATCTGTAATAATTCAGATTAGATCATTGAGGTAAGGAGAAGGGTAAGGGGGGGGGACTTATGGGTTGATTGTATTACGCTCTTTTTTTTTTTTTTTTTTAATTTTATTTCATTTATTTATTCTTCTTTGATTATTTTTTAAAACGGGAAGATACTATTTAAATTTTTCAATAATTTTTCACTTTTTTTCTGTAATTTTTTTAAGTGAAAAATGTGTTATTTTCTATTTTAAATTATATTTTGTGAAGAAGTTGCTAATGTGAGGCTTAAAGTAGCCAATCGGGGAAGTTGGGAGGATTTATGTGTTGGATGTTTATTGACTTTGAAAACGCGCGACACACGGAAAAAAAAAAAAAAAAAGATGCAAGGAACAGCAAAAAGCGCTTCAATCTAATCTTCTCATTTCAAATATTTTCCCCTACAGAATTTTCCCTACACAGGTACCTTTGTTTCCGGGACCTTTTTTTCCGCACCATTTTTTCCGGTACCTTTTTTTCCGAGAATCGAATATTTCGCATATACTCTATTCCGAAGTATTTTTTTTTTTTTTTTCGTCGGCTTTTTTTTTTTTTTTTTCCCCAAAAGGTAATTTGTATCCGACAGCCATAAAAACGAATATTTTGACAAAAAATAACGTTTTTGTTCTACTGCCTAACAATATTGTCCACTTCTTCTAATAGTTGAATCTTTTTGTTGTTGTTTTTACGCCAAATAGAACTTTAGTTATAATAATTTTAGTAATAGATGATCTGTCAAACTTACCGGAAATTACAAAAACGAAACCGGAAGTAGGTAACAGTTTCGATTCCATTTCTATTTATGTGAATATTTCCCTGAAATATTTAATTTTTAAAAGCTCCTAGACTCTCGGCTAATAATCTGAATTATATTTTAATAAGATTTTGCGGCTTGTTGTTACTGGCAGCACTTGAAAAGTTTCGTATGATCTTTAATTCATCATTTTATAAAAATATTTTAATTTTTTTCCGAAATATTAACAAAAATTACATTTAGATTCATTTATGCATGTATATTAAAACACAAAAATATTATAAGATTTTTTTTAACAAAAAATCTTGTGCTGAATGCTAAATAAGTTATTAATTCTTGGCAGTATTCGCAAACTACTTTAAAATATCGCTACAGAAAACTCCAGGAATTAAATATTAAACTAAAACAAAGTAAATGTGCGAAAATAATGTGCCATCTGTAAAATATAGCAACTTCCAGTTTCCAAACGCTCATAATTTCCAACTAAAATGCAATTATACACTATAATTACATTTTTCTCGAAATAAAAATTTTGCAATTTTTTGTCTACGAAAGCCAAAATAACTCAAATAATTATTTTAAATTTGTCTTTAAACTTTCAGTGAATGTTTCTTGTATTTGTGGCAATATAACAAACCTCCAGAATACAGATAACTGCATTTTTTTCCCTTTTTTTTTTCTATGAAATATTTTGTTGTAAACAATGCGAAAAAAATGAGAAAACAATTGGAAAAATATGCTTAACACACTATAATTTTTATTAGTTTCATTATATCATTTAAGTTGAGGTTCACAGTACTTCAGATGGATACGAAGCTGCTCAAAAAATTTGATTGCGGTACGTATAATAGTTTTCTGTGTGGCTTGTTTTCCGTTAATTGGTTAATTCCATTAATATTATCGAAAAACTCCCTTTAAATAAAAATTTTCGTGTGTTTTTATATTTCCTTCTATTAAATATATTTATTGAAATTATGCAATATTAATTGCATTAAACTTTTGTCTAAGGTAGTCGGATACCTTAAAATTATATCTTAGTCTGTTCTTAGATTATTTTTTTTGGAGATTTATTTTGTTTGTTTTTCAGTAATTTATGTTTAAAAAAAAAGTTTTTTAGCACCATCCAAATCAGTTTTCATTCGTTTAAACTATAATAAAATTGAATTTTTTCAAAAGAATCGCAAAATAGGAAAAAGTGCAGTTTTAAATTACTTACTCCAAACTATATAACTAGCATAATTTTATTGTGTGACAGATTTGAGGTGAAATCTACAAAAGTTTTCTCTAAGGACTTTTCCACCTAATTTACGAACAATTATTTTACTTATTATTTTTTCTGAAAAGCAAAAATAATAAGTAAAGAGGCCGCATTCAAAAACACTATCATAAAAAATAAAAAATATAACACAAAATAAAGTGAGCGCAGTATAAAAATTTAATACAAAATCGAAGGTGGCGAAGGTAGCAGCGTAATTAAATTAAATTAAATTGTAAAGAAAATCATCTTGGGCATTTGCGCTTTTGTAAAAATGTATAGCAAAATACATCACATTCTTAATTGCTCTTTTGCAGGAATATTATAATAATATTATAATATCTATTTATTAGGTTTCTTATTGTAAACCTAATTCTTATTTAGACGAAATAATCATTATCATCGTACAATCATTATCATTATACGCATGATCATTATCATCGTTGTGCCAAAAATATTATTAATACACATAAATGAAGTTTAAAAATGAAATGGGATATTTTCTTCTTAATGTTGTGGCTTTCTTCTGAACTGCAAATATGGTTATTTAATGATTTTCTTTTTGAAATTTGGGCCAAAATTAATGAAATTTAATATTTATTTGTAAGAAAATACATAATTTTAGAGGACACTAATTATAAAAGAAATAATTTTTACGCTGAAGAAAAAACTATTTTTGAAATTATTGTATTTTGTGACGATTTCTAGAAGATAGATGTTTGTGATGATTTCTAGATTCAAAAAGTACATTGTCACCAAATGAATTTTCTTTTTGAAATGAAACACATACTCGTTGTTGATAATTTCTTAAGTCATCATTAACAAGTAATTTCACGTTCAATATATGAATTCTATCATAGTTTAATAAAATTTTGAAAAAGACTGTCGCATAAAATAATTCAGTTTGTTGAGTTTTTTTTTTTTTCCTTTTTTATTTTTTTTTTTTTTTAAACAGATGGAAAAAAAAGACTATTTCAAAACATAACCAACGATTAATATTATTTACAGAGTCACAAGAAATAATTAGGATAAGGAAAATAAATAA